TCTGGGTTAGCTCCACAGTCTGGATCCATCAGAGGAAGAGGAAGAGGTGGAGTCACAGTCTGAGGCTCTGGGTTAGCTCCACAGTCTGGATCCATCAGAGGAAGAGGAAGAGGTGGAGTCACAGTCTGAGGCTCAGCTCCAGTCTGGATCCATCAGAGGAAGAGGAAGAGGTGGAGTCACAGTCTGAGGCTCTGGGTTAGCTCCACAGAAGCCTCCTGGTGCAGCATCAGATAATACCCCCACCATATGTTGAGGAACATTCATGATAAACACAAACAGAGACAAAAGTCAAATACTAAAGAGGAATAAAAGTGAAGTGTGATTTGAAATGATCTAATGCAGTGGTTTCTAAAGTCTTTAAACTGTCTTTTACGAGGACAACTTTAAAGGAAAGAGAAGTGAAGCTGCGTGGCTGTCTCTGCCTCGTGTCCTTCATGACCTTCACCTGAGCCTCTTTAACCACGCTCTTAAAGCCCTAAATGCAGCTCTGATGGTTCTGCACCAGGTGAGTGTGTTTGTGAGTGTGGATAGGACAATTATTATTATTGTTTTATCTTTTTATAGAATAATTATGACTGTCAGCAGCAGAAACACATCCATCTAAACAAACAAACAAATAAATACATCGTTCTAAAAGTGGCTTCAACAGAAACACACTGAAGGTCACAGCAGCAGGTTCATCTGGTGTCGCAAAACCATGAATCCTCTCTGCTCTGGTCTGGACCAGTGTAAAACCATGAACCCTCTCTGCTCTGGTCTGGACCAGTGTAAAACCATGAATCCTCTCTGCTCTGGTCTGGACCAGTGTAAAACCATGAATCCTCTCTGCTCTGGTCTGGACTAGTGTAAAACCATGAATCCTCTCTGCTCTGGTCTGGACCAGTGTAAAACCATGAATCCTCTCTGCTCTGGTCTGGACCAGTGTAAAACCATGAATCCTCTCTGCTCTGGTCTGGACCAGTGTAAAACCATGAATCCTCTCTGCTCTGGTCTGGACCAGTGTAAAACCATGAATCCTCTCTGCTCTGGTCTGGACCAGTGTAAAACCATGAACACTGAGTCAAATCTACAGCTAGAAAACAAGCAATAAAAATTAAAATGGTAAAACACAAAACGACTTCTGACTTCGTGCTCACTGGTGTTTTCGTTCAAAAGTCCTTTAAAATATAGAGTTTAAAAGGCACAAGTTTAAAACATACAAAATAAATGTCTCCTCTTCATCATCTTCATCTGTCCCTCACTCCCCTGGATCAGAGCAGCTGGACACACAGGAAACAGAACATAAGGATCTGAGTAACCCCGAGACCCCCCCCTCCTGACCCCCCCCTCCTGACCCCCCTCCTGACCCCCCCCTCCTGACCCCCCCCTCCTGACCCCCCCTCCTGACCCCCCTCCTGACCCCCCCTCCTGACCCCCCCTCTCTCTTTCATTAAAGTGACAGACGCAGCTCCAGACTGACCTGTGGATGCCCCCCACGCTTCACCCAGACACTTCCACTCTCAAGTTCAGACCCGGACCACCAGAGCAGACCAGAGCAGACCAGACCCGACCAGACCAGACCAAAGCAGACCAGACCAGACCAGAGGAGACCAGAGCAGACCAGACCAGAGGAGATCAGAGCAGAGCAGAGCTGACCAGACCAGTCCAGACCAAAGCAGACCAGACCAGACCTGTGCACACTAGACCAAAGCAGACCAGAGCACTTCAGACCAGTGCAGTTCAGACCAAAGCAGACCAGAGCACTTCAGACCAGTGCAGTTCAGACCAAAGCAGACCAGACCAGACCAGACCAAAGCAGACCAGAGCAGAGGAGTCTAGAGCAGACCAGACCAAAGCAGACCAGAGCAGTTCAGACCAAAGCAGACCAGAGCAGAGCAGAGCAGACCAGAGCAGACCTGAGCAGACCAGACCAAAGCAGACCAGAGCAGTTCAGACCAAAGCAGACCAGAGCAGACCAAAGCAGACCAAAGCAGACCAGACCAAAGCAGACCAGAGCAGACCTGAGCAGATCAGACCAGAGCAGTTCAGACCAAAGCAGACCAGAGCAGAGGAGTCTAGAGCAGACCAGACCAAAGCAGACCAGAGCAGTTCAGACCAAAGCAGACCAGACCAGACCAGACCAAAGCAGACCAGAGCAGAGGAGTCTAGAGCAGACCAGACCAAAGCAGACCAGAGCAGTTCAGACCAAAGCAGACCAGAGCAGAGCAGACCAGACCAAAGCAGACCAGAGCAGACCCGAGCAGACCAGAGCAGTTCAGACCAAAGCAGACCAAAGCAGACCAAAGCAGACCAGCCCGAAGCAGACCAGAGCAGAGGTGACCAGCCCAGCCCAGTCCAGTCCAGACAGAGCGTGCAGACGCACTCGGTGACCACTGTGGACCCAGTGACCAGAGGAAGGGGGAGTTTACAGTACTATAGTTGTATTATTATTGTCTCTTAAAGTCGGGCGACGTGACTTTCAAAGCACATGAGACCAAGTGGTTTTCATTTCCTCTTCAGGATGAACGTAGAAGTTACAGGAAAATACTTCACATACTTTTAAGATTTTGTTTAAGATTTTACAAATTTGATCCTGGTTTGGCCTTTTTATTTTGCATTATAGTTTTACTTCCTGGTTAGGGATTAACAACCCGAGGCTCAGGATGTTTCCTAGCAACCACGGATACACTGTACAAAAATGAGTATTGAGAATAATTATAATTTTGGCTAATTTAAATAAAAGGAACTCAGTAATATCCATGTTCTATCTATCTTCTCTTCCTTTAGATCAGTTTTTTCAGACGGAAAAGTGTCAAAGAGAGGACCACCCTCTATCAACCAATCAGCTCTCAGCCCTAAGAGTGGTAGGTAGAGCAGTGGCCGTGGAGCCTGAAGGTTGTGGGTTCAAGTCCACCACAAGACCTTCTTCCCACTGATGACTGCTGTCGTTGTGTCCTTGGGCAAGACACTTAACCCCACTTTGCCTGAAGCCCCCACTGACAGATCAAGGCTCCTGTGGACTCAGCTGCCATCCCCCCGACCCAGAAAGGGGAAGAGAAAGGATGGATGGACATGCTTTTGTTAAAGGAGACACATACATTCGTTCCTCAGTGAGAATTTCAATGTAATGTTGTAAATGAGCTGTATTCTGTTCTATTCACATCCAACAGAAATGCTGACCAGGACACAAAGAAGCAGGCTTGCTTTTTATTTTAAGAGTCTAGGGTCATAGGTCAGATGGACATATATGGTAAAGGTAAATGTTAGTATTTAACCCAGTTTAGTTTTCTATTCTGGGTCTTCTGGCGTTGAGCCTGAATCAGAGGAGACCCAGGCAAATGGAGCTCTTTGCCTGAATTGAACTGAATGTATTCTGATTATGTCATTAAACTCCTTTTAATCATAACTCAGAGTTCATTCCTTCTCCATCACTATCCATGTGTGCGGGAAACCCTGTCTTCAAAGATCAGGAGACACTACAGTAATAACAGGACAAATCAGAGCAGAACAGCAGGAGAAAGTCCAAGTGCACTTCAAACTGGATCAAACTGGATCTATAATTACAAACTGGATCAAACTGGATCTATAATTACAGACAGAACTCTGGAGAGAGAGTTGCACTGGAGCTGCATTGTTATGATTGCGATGTCTTGTCCCAGCGCGATACATTTCCGTGTTGTTTTGGGTCTCGCAGATGTGTTCAGCAGACTGAGACAGGAGACACCCCCCCCGCCCTCACCCCCCTCCCTCCCCCTCCTCCCCCCTTTGGCCCCGGGCCCCTGTACATGAGGCTCGCTGGACAGAGCCAGACACAACACAACAGTGCACGCTGCAGGCTCCACAGCTGGACTGGAATGTGCCCTGACCACAGACCACCTCCGCCTTCAGCACCGCACTCCACACACAGCACCACAACACCACACACCAGACACAGCACCACAACACCACACTCCACACACAGCACCACAACACCACACTCCACACACAGCACCACAACACCACACTCCACACACAGCACCACAACACCACACACCAGACACAGCACCACAACACCACACACCAGACACAGCACCACAACACCACACACCAGACACAGCACCACAACACCACACTCCACACACAGCACCACAACACCACACTCCACACACAGCACCACACACCAGACACACAGCACCACAACACCACACACCAGACACACAGCACCACACACTATACACCACAGCACCGCATACAGCACCACACACAGCACCACAACACCACACACATCAGACACACACAGGCCCAGGCTCATTCACACTTTCATCATTTACGCCATGCACAAAACATCGAGTCTGGATTAAAGAAAATAATGTTTTACATATATTTTAAACATGTACTTTTGGCCTCGCACCAAAGTACGAACCAACTCAGACTCTGAGGAGCACAGGGACTGGCCCCCTGCTGGGACTCTGAGGAGCACAGGGACTGACCTCCTGCTGGGACTCTGAGGAGCACAGGGACTGGCCTCCTGCTGGGACTCTGAGGAGCACAGGGACTGGCCTCCTGCTGGGACTCTGAGGAGCACAGGGACTGGCCTCCTGCTGGGACTCTGAGGAGCACAGGGACTGGCCTCCTACTGGGCCTCTGAGGAGCACAGGGACTGGCCTCCTGCTGGGACTCTGAGGAGCACAGGGACTGGCCTCCTGCTGGGACTCTGAGGAGCACAGGGACTGGCCTCCTGCTGGGACTCTGAGGAGCACAGGGACTGGCCTCCTGCTGGGACTCTGAGGAGCACAGGGACTGGCCTCCTGCTGGGACTCTGAGGAGCACAGGGACTGGCCTCCTGCTGGGACTCTGAGGAGCACAGGGACTGGCCTCCTGCTGGGACTCTGAGGAGCACAGGGACTGGCCTCCTGGACTCTGAGGAGCACAGGGACTGGCCTCCTGCTGGGACTTGGTTTTAGTTTAAAAACTGAAACAATCTTCCTGAAAATGTACGAAACAGAGCTGAGGGTATTTTATTGTGACTCTTAACACTTCCTACTCTTCTCCTGCTGTGAGTCACTTTGCAAGTATCGAGTCTATTTCATCACATTTTAAGTTGAATCCCAGAAGAAAATAAACATTTGAACAATATTTTGATTTTCCGAGTTTCACTTTTATTTACAGTAATAGTTTCAATCTCAGAAAGAATCGTATACACAACAACAAACAACATCTGCTACAGTTATACAGGACTCCAGGCAATATCTATATATATATATATATATATATATATATATATATATATATATATATATATATATATATGCTACAAACGCAGTAATCTGGGACTTCCTGTAGCACAGACACTCAGATCCCAGAGACACATGTTTATTATTCATGACATCATCACAAAGAAGAAATATTATGCATCATTTTGGCTTAAATTATAACATTTACTAATGTTTACGAATGTGATATTGAAAAAAGGGTGAAAGTAGTGAGTGTAAAGTATCTTTCCCTTAAAAGAGATGAAAAAACTGAGGCAGTCTTGAAATTTAAAGTAGAAATATGTAAGATTTTCCTTACATATTTACAGGGCCCTTTCATTAAAGGGCCCTGGTCTGTCATCATTAAAGGGCCCTAATCTGTCATCATTAAAGGGTCCTAATCTGTCATCATTAAAGGGCCCTAATCTGTCATCATTAAAGGGCCCTAATCTGTCATCATTAAAGGGCCCTAATCTGTCATCATTAAAGGGTCCTAATCTGTCATCATTAAAGGGCCCTAATCTGTCATCATTAAAGGGCCCAAATCTGTCATCATTAAAGGGCCCTAATCTGTCATAATAATAAACTGATCTTTTCCAATACTTCTTTAACTGATAACAGTCGTTCAAAGATATTTGAATTTCTAAATTACTTTTCCAGCCTCTAAATCTTGTTATTGTTTTCATTTCGATGTCCCGCCCTCCACCGTTTCACCAATCAGAAAGTCTGTGATCAGGGCGCCAGAACTCACCGCGTGGAGCTAATCTCACTGGTAAAGTACCATGTGGAGCTAATCTCACTGGTAAAGTACCATGTGGCGCAGAACTAAAAAATGTCTCGTTATGATTCTCAAATCATTAACGACAAAACAAGGAATAAAACCAGGATTTCTATCTTTGTGAAAAAGGTGTTGGTTATAGATTTGTTGTTGACTAAACTCTTGTCTATTCAGCTGTTATGGTCCCAGCTGGATTCGTCTGCATATCTGGCAACCTGAGTCAGTGACAGTGGGAGAGGCTGCAGTACCACTTTTGGCCACATGTTTACACACTGCTCCTTTAAATAAGACTCCTTTAATGTATACGGATGCTACACCTTTTTTTCCTCTACTTCAACATTTTAGGTGACCTGTTGATGTATGTCATTAGCATGGATGGATCTAAAACTAACTCCAGGTCTTTGAGTGAATCTATTACAGAATTTGGATTTTGCATAATATGTCTCCTTTAAATGAACACGATATCAAAACTGTCATGAATCAAATGTGTTTTTAATGTTTCCTCCATGTGCAACACGAGGATCAGTCTCATTTCTCTTTCATTTCACTTTAATGACACTAATCGTTCAATGTTTTTCTTTTGTGAATAACTAAATAATGATTTGAGATATATCTATGTTTAAATATTTACATGGCTTGTTGTCATGTGGCGTTAGCTTACATCCGACTTCACATTCAACACTGAAAAAAGGACAAAAAGAGCTTATTCTTTTGAGAAAACATGAGCAGAAGTGGAAGTCCAGAGTCTGTGTCGCAGTCGGACAGTGTGACATTCATGCACCAGTGATGGGCGGATTCTACGCCTGGAAACCCAAACCCCAGCGACCCGAGATGTCTGCCCATTACATGCTCTCAGGACGCAGGCCGATGAGACTGGGACGAGAGCGAGGAAGTGTGGAAAAGTCCATGATGACAAAATCTGACCATTGAAGAAGCTGTTCGCTGTCAGCTGAGCTAGACCGGCTTAAGCTAGCAACGCCATACCCACTTAATATAATACATCTGTGTGGAAACCTTGGACGGAGCTTCCAGAACTAAAATTCCTCATTAAAAATCCTCCGTGGCGGATTCGGAAAAATTGCTTTTATAAACATTGAAAACTGGTCATGTTTTAAAATGTCTTTTGGAGGAATCCTATTTGTTGATACCTTAGTTTGTAGTGATAATTTTGATATGAATCTGCCCATCACTTAGGTACACGATATGTCCCGGACCATGCTAATGCTCATGCTAATGCTCATGCTAATGCTAATGCCCTGACAGCCCTGTGAGAGCTTGTACCTGAAGACTGTGAGCTGGAGGTCCTGAGCCGGTCTGAGCAGAGGTGGGTGGCTAATGTATATGTGGGCGTGGCCTATCTTTTAATTGTTCATAATCTAATGCACCATTTAAGTTTAAGTTTAAGTGACGTAAAACATGAAAAAAACTGTTTTAATTTTGGTTTGCTTAGTGCATTTACCGTAGTTTGTATAAAAAGACCAGATGACTTTCTGATCGCATCAGTGAGACTGTGGCCATCGCTGCATGTAAATGTCTGATTGAAGAGTAAATCTGGATAGTTTGACTTTTTTTTTCAAGGGGATTACACCTGAATATTATTTTAATGAAAGTATGAATCCAGTGTGAGATCAATAAAGTCTATCTTTCCACCCACCTCTGTACCTTGATATCACCCTTACTAGAGTTCACTGGAGATTACTGCGCGGCGGGGAACTCTTTGAGAAAGTGGCACGTGTTCTTGTGCGCCACCTCTCGCAGCTTTCTCACCCTCCGGCTGCTCGACGCGCTGACGAAGCTGTCCGGCTGCAGCACGGCCATGCCATTGTGGACATCCCCCATGATGATGATCGCACTGTCCGCTACCGTGACGTTCGGACAAGGGCAATTCCAGTTCACATTCAGCAAAGTCACCTCCAGGGGCTCCTTCCCAAAAAACCTCAGCCCCATTTTGTCATCTTTCAGGATCTCCTCCACGGTGATGAGTGCATGCCCCGACTCCTGCTCTTCCGTCAGCTCTGTGACGCGCCCCAAGATCACAAAATCACTCTTGCAGAAGCTGGCGATCATCTTACCCCGCGGTTTACACGTCTTACAGTTGTGGTTTTTCGGAAACGGACACGACTCCTCGCACACTTCCTTGGACTCAAAGTTGTTCTCGTTGCTGCCGCATCCGCCATAGACAAAAGACTGGCATTTCTTGAGTGCGCTGTTGTACGCCCAGCGGGGTTCGTAGGACTTGCAAGGACCTTGAAGACTCGGTAGACTGCAGGGCGCGGCCAGATCCCCTCCACAAGACAACATGCACGCTTCGTACATGTCGAAATGGTTGCGATTCTTGTTGCACTGGCTGTATGTGAAGGGAAAGCAGTTGTTCCGCTTGGACTCATAGTACCAGCTCATGGTGTCTTCCCCACAATGATCCATGTCAGGAGACTTCAAGCACTCTTCGGCCGGGAACGGTAGATCGCTGCTGCTGTTGACGAGCGGTTCTTTGTCGACGACCGCTAGAGGGAAGTGAGCGGATGCGCTGCCCCCGACATTCTTGGCGGTGCAGGTGTAGATGCCAGCGTCTTGCAGTTGCACGTTGTAGATGACGAGCTGGCCGATGTTGGTGACCACGGCGTTGCCCCTCACATGGTTGGGTCGGAGGACTGTGTTGTCTCGGCCCTTGAGCTGCTTCTCCCACGTGATGTCCGGTTGGGGCTTGCCGGAGACTTCGCACAGGAAGCTGGCTGTGTCGCCCACAAAGACGGTCTGGCGGGAGACCGGGCTGTGGATGGCGGGAGGCTGGATGTCCGCGGGCAGAGTGGTCTGCAGGGCGGTGGTCGGGTGAAGCGTGGTCTCGTCAGGCAGCGGGCTGGTGTTGGGCCAGGTCAGGTGGAATCTGTGGAGACAGAGACGGAGAGAACAACTGTGAGAGTGGGGAGAGGGTGGACCTTTTGAAACCTACACTTGTTGAACTGCTTAGAAAGTTCTAGGGTTGACTAATGTCTAAAGGAAGACTTCTGCTTTGTCAGAGGTGACATGTGATGGTGTGAGTGTCTGTTATCGGCTGTTGTTACTGGTCGCAGCACTGATCACACTCTCACGTCTCTCCTCTGACGAAGGTGGAAGTCTACCGCCAAAACATGTGGTGGGGTTCACAAACTTTACACACACACCGCAGTAGACATTAAATGCAAAGCAGTGAGCTGCCTGTTCTGGAGGTTCTTTATGAATGCAGACTCTTAAACCGAGCTCTGCAGTCTGTCCCAGGGCGGGTGTGGCCACAGTAGAACCTTACCACTACCACCACCTTTAATAAATTAATAAATAATGCACAGAATTGTAAAGATATTTTGGCAAAAGTACAAAAAACAAAAGTGCTCATTAAGACATGAGTATTATGTATCGTGATGTTATGGATGAGGTTTCAGACTAAATAATAAAAAAATGATAATGCCCACACCTTAGGGCAGTGGTTTCCAACCTTGGGGGGGGCGAGTCAATTAATTCCTGGGGTCCCATGCCCTGAAAAAGCAACATTAGACATAAGGCGACCTTAATAATTTGGCACAGGTTGAGAACCACTGCCTGTTTAAACAGTTTTCTATATTACACAGGCTGTATCTCGTATCTCAACATGCAAAGGCCGACGACACGGCGTCCACAACCGAGAAGCTCCACAGGCCCCATCTCAAAGTCTCAAAATACACTCTTTTTGTTTTTATTATAAAATGTTCAAAGGTATGAATTTTCTCATGGCTTTGCAGTTGTAAATGTCAGCAACAGCTCAGTGTCGTCCTCTGATGGTTTGATCCCAGCTCATCACTGGTGACAGTTATCTCCACTGACAAATCTATCACAGCTGAAGACTACCACTGTGTCCTTGGGCAAGACACTTGCCTTGCCTCGAGTGTTTGGGTAAACTAGAGTAAGTAAATCATTGATGAAAAGACGAATACAAAGTTAATGACTATTTAGGTCTTGTGGTCATAGACGCCACCATCAAGATGCTAAGCAAAGTAACACACAGTGGTCTCCCATCACTGGAGAATAGAATTAACTAAAGAATTTAAGAATCACTGTGTTACGGCTTTGAAGAGTTTAGAAAGTTATAAGTTCTACAAGTCTGCTGTGTAATATTTGATTGGACATTACCCATAATACTTTGCTCCTCAATAGAATGCAGTAAGGTTGTGATAATCCTGCTGCGTGTGAGTCCCATAAGACTGAGAACAAACCTGATAAGACTGAGAACAAACCTACGGTGAGTTTGAAACCATCGGCCTCAGTTGTCGATGCACTAAAACAATAGAAATGACTGCCATCTGCTGGCCGTGTGAAGAACTGTACACACTATTGTAAAGATACAGAACAGAAGGAATATAAGGACCTTTTTCCCAGATTACCTTTTCAAAAATCAAATCATTATGGTACAGATTTTCTAAAGCTCCGATTCTATTGAACATGGAAGTTAATATTAGGATCCTTTTTAGTGATATGGCATTAGATCGATGAGATTATGATAAGTACTCGAAATGAGATGTTCACTGTAACAAACACCGGGGGCAGTCCCTGTTGAGCTTCACAAACAAACACAGTGAGGAATAACAATATTTAAGGCTTGGAAGATTCTTCATAAGACGGCGGTCGACTTCCGCCTTCGTCAGAGACGATGGTGTGACGTGTCTCTGATCAGCTGCTGTTACTGGACGTGAGGATCAGACAGATCGGTCAGACTGGGCATTTAGACCGATCGGTCAGACTGGGCATTTAGACCAAACGGTCAGACTGGGCATTTAGACCGATCGGTCAGACTGGGCGTTTAGACCGATCGGTCAGACTGGGCGTTTAGACAGATTGGTCAGACTGGGCGTTTAGACAGATCGGTCAGACTGGGCGTTTAGACAGATCGGTCAGACTGGGCATTTAGACCAAGCGGTCAGACTGGGCATTTAGACCGATCGGTCAGACTGGGCGTTTAGACAGATCGGTCAGACTGGGTATTTAGACAGATCGGTCAGACTGGGCATTTAGACCAAGCGGTCAGACTGGGCATTTAGACCAAGCGGTCAGACTGGGCGTTTAGACAGATCGGTCAGACTGGGCATTTAGACCAAGCGGTCAGACTGGGCATTTAGACCAAGCGGTCAGACTGGGCGTTTAGACAGATCGGTCAGACTGGGCATTTAGACCAAGCGGTCAGACTGGGCATTTAGACCAAGCGGTCAGACTGGGCGTTTAGACAGATCGGTCAGACTGGGCGTTTAGACCGAGCGGTCAGACTGGGCGTTTAGACAGATCGGTCAGACTGGGCGTTTAGACCGAGCGGTCAGACTGGGCGTTTAGACCGATCGGTCAGACTGGGCGTTTAGACCGAGCGGTCAGACTGGGCGTTTAGACCGATCGGTCAGACTGGGCGTTTAGACCGATCGGTCAGACTGGGCGTTTAGACCGATCGGTCAGACTGGGCGTTTAGACCGATCGGTCAGACTGGGCGTTTAGACCGATCGGTCAGACTGGGCGTTTAGATTACAACAGCTGAGAAGAGACACGACACAACAAGCTTTTTTACACCTACGTCTTATCAAAAGAACCTTCCAAGCCTTAAACATAAAAGAAGACATAATGAACTGTTTACATTGAAAGTAAGACCCACACGGTTCCTCAACAGTAGAGGAGTCACGTGCACATTCCCATGCAGCCTCATGCACGTGCCTTCAGCCGCAGAAGGAGCTAGCAGTTAGCATGTTAGCATGTTACCTGCAGGTGACCTCAGAGATAGAGACCCCCTTGGAGCAGGCCTCTGCGTCCATGTAGCACTTGTTGTAGTAGGTCATCCCGTCGGACGCACAAGTGAAGTGGGGCTCTCTCTCGCAGCGGTCGCGGCACTTGCACACGGGCTGTCCGTCCCAGATGTCGCACTCGGAGCCCTGCTGGGCGCACATGAACTTGTCGCAGGTGGCCCCCTTCGGCATTCCGATGGGGCCCTTGTTGCCTTTGACATCGATGTAGCGCGCCGCCACGCAGCTTTTGTTTCCGCACACATTAGGACAGCACTTCTCAAAAGACTCGCAGTCCTGCAGAGAGGACAGAGCACTTTAATACACTTATGTTTGATGAAAGTTAATTTAATTCATGAATCACGGCAGTAGTTATCTCTGAGGACTTTACAAAGCTTGTTGATTCGCCAACACAGATCAGAGAATCACAGACACAGGAAATGCAACAATAACAAACACAGAGCCGTTGGTTCATACGGAGCAGAGATCATCAGTTACTCAAAAGCAAAATGACCAAGAAGACAGATTATAAAGGTCTCGTTGCTATGGATATGTTACTTTTCCTCAGCACATTATGAATGTATAGTTTTGCATCTAGTTTTTTTTACAATAAACTGAACAATGTGATAAATCCATGTTACTATTGTTAGGATTTAAAACAGTTTGGGTCCATCACTGGTTTGCACTGGATGTGTTTTTGCCTCTGTCACATCTTTAGATCAACTTTTTTAGGACAGAAAAGTGAAAAAGAGTGGCCCACCCTTCTCTCAGCCGATCAGCGCTCAGCCCAAAAGGTCAAATAGTGGCTCACAGGGCTCTTTCTTTTTGAGATCACATGTTTTCTGGAAGAAGGAGACGCATGTTGTGGTCTGATGTGTTCACCAAACTCAAAAAGACTCTTTCTGTTGTGACACAAAAGTTACTGCAGCTGTGACTGTGATGGAGCAGATTTGGTATGATACCTTTATCAAAGAGAAAAACAGTGAAAGTAAAATGTTACAATCCAGACCAAACTTAAGAAAAAGACCTTTGAGTCAGTCAAAGTCTGGGCTCAAAGCTGATTGGTTGAGTGAAGGAGGTGCTCCCTGTTTTTTATTTTGGTCACTTGCACATTTACACACATCGTTACAGAGCAGAAACTTTAAGACAGAAAAGGTGTCGGCTGAAGCTGATGCATATTTTGCCTTTTTTAGTGTCATTAGTGTAAGTGACTGTAACATTAGGATTTACAGAAGCATAAGATTCTGAGTTCCTGTAGCCGTCCAAATAAAGATAAGATCAGATAAGATAGACTTTATTGATCTCTGATGGAGAAATGAACACGTCACATTTGGCACAGATAGAATCACTCAGATTGTGCAAAAGACAGAAGTGTGAAACATGTTAAAGTTTAAGTCTGTGCAGGATATAATTATGTAGAATAAAAAGTGTCACTCTTGTGCAGGTTCTTCAGTCCTTCAGGGCGTTTAAAAGTTAGGTACCCCAGCTTTAGCCTTGCTCAGTGACCTCCTGCACAGTCTCATATATCTGCTCTTTTCTAATACTGAAGCTGTGACATCATGACTTGACCTCGAGCTCTTGAATAAGTGACTATTCAGATTTAAAGCACTACATGTGGTTAAAGAGACACTGAGACTTAATCTTATTAAAAAGTTACAACATTACTCTATAACTGCCAAAGTTGAGTTGAGAAAATGTAATAAGAAATGGCAGTTTTGGTGGAATTATGACATATTTATCCATGTGACTGTATCATATGTTTACTTGAGGGCACATTTTCAATAACTTTCCCACCACTGAAACCTTCAGGCTGCAAGCAATGCCCTGAGTCAACACTGCACAAAGAACACAATACTCCAACTTTCCAGAGGAGGCAAGTCTCATTTAAAAAGATCCTCCTGGATAAAAGTTCTGTTGCAAAAATAGATATAAAAAAGCTGTATTACTCTGGCGACAATCCTAAACATGTGGAGGTATTGGCTGTATACATTTGAAAGTACAAGCAACTAAATGACTTGGTAAAGAGTCAACTGTATCTGCATCTGATATTTTTCTAATGCCTTTATATACTCTCATACATTTATCCTAATTCAAGACATTTCTACTTGTTAAAGCAATGCTTGGGGTGAATCTTGAACAAAATCACGCGTAAAGCTCCAAACTGCACAGAACTCTCCACTTTCCCCAAAACCAGCAGCAGCAGCAGCGTCCTCCTCACCTGGTCCGACTCGCACTCGCGCATGCAGGTGCTCATGGCGTCCACCCACAGGTTCGGGTTGAGTTCGTTGGGACAGAGACCCGCGTGTGAGTACACCAGCTTGGGCACCTGTCCCAGTGGCATGGCGCGGACTCGCCTCGACAGCAGCGGCAGCAGTAACCCCGACACGAACCATATCCACCGGGGGAAGAGCATCCACCACATGTCCGCAGGAGAGGCACCAGGACGCGGCGTGGAGAGAGCGCCTGGAGACAGGGGTCCGCGGCGGAGGAGCGACGCAAGGATGTGAGAGGAGGCAACAGACGCACACACGCAGCAGACAGAGGAGGCTTTGGGGGGACGGTCAGAGGAGGCTCAGAGGAGGCTCGGAGGAGACACAGAGGAGGTTCAGAGGAGGCTCAGAGGAGGATCAGAGGAGGTTCAGAGGAGGCCCACAGGAGGCCCACAGGAGGCCCAGAGGAGGCCCACAGGAGGCCCACAGGAGGCTCAGAGGAGGTTCAGAGGAGGCGCAGAGGAGCTTCAGAGGAGGCGCAGAGGAGGCACAGAGGAGGCGCAGAGGAGCTTCAGAGGAGGCGCAGAGGAGGCACAGAGGAGGCTCAGAGGAGACACAGACCGTGTACAGATGTGAGTGCGCACGGTACAAAGCGGAGCACACTTTTACGCACGGGAGGCTTCAGTGGAGAGAACCCGCGGCCACCTGTCTGCGCGCGTTAACCCTTCACTTCCACTGTACAAGACACGGGCTGTTGCAACAGGGCCACCTGGAGGTACCGAGGGGCCCGGGGCTCACACAGGGTTGTAGCCCCCCTCAGTGCCGAAGCGACCCCTCAATGCCACACAAACCCTTCGTCCCAAACCCTGCTATTCCTACATGTATAAAAATATAAATGAAATCTACACTGGGTATCAACATCTCTATCTTGAATGGAAAAAAAAGTACAACAACACAATAAAGTTATAACGGAGAAAACCATGTTTTGTTCAAAAATGTCAGAAATAAGTGTAATAGTTATCAGAGACTGCAGTTCAATAGGTTCCCCAGCAGGTGGTTTGCATCTGTAATATGTTCTTAGCAGCTTCATGTGTTACAGACAGGCTCTGACCTGGAGGATGGAGACATTTCAATGGGCCCTTCATGTTCCGGGCCGGCCCATGTGTGTGTCAGTCTGTGGAGGCTCCTGCAGACGCCATGATGCCAGAGCGCCGTGAGAGTGCAGTGCGTCTTCAGTGCGTCTTCAGTGCGTCTGCAGTGCGTCTGCAGTGCGTCTTCAGTGCGTCTGCAGTGCGTCTGCAGTGCGTCTGCAGTGCGTCTGCAGTGCGTCTGCAGTGCGTCTGCAGTGCGTCTGCAGTGCGTCTGCAGTGCGTCTGCAGTGCGTCTGCAGTGCGTCTGCAGTGCGTCTGCAGTGCGTCTGCAGTGCGTCCGCAGTGCGTCTGCAGTGCGTCTGCAGTGCGTCCGCAGAAATGACTTTGTTCCCAAATAAGTCAAATCAAGCCTCATTTAAACTTTAATTTATGTCTAAGTTCAGGACACAGTGGAGCAGGTGGTCCTGGACAGACTACCATCTATGACTGTCGCCCCCTACTGGACACTCTGTCTAACTGGAGAGCAGCTTCAGTGACATATTGTTCCATCCATCCATCCATCCATCCATTTTCTTCCCCTTAACCCATTTCTGGGTCGGGGGGGTGGCAGTCAGAGCTGCACCCAGTACACAGAGCACCAGCCCCTCACTGATCCTCCTGCAGGTGCTGAGTCCACAGGAGCTGAGATCTTTCAGTGGGAGCTTCAGGCAAAGTGGGGTTAAGTGTCTTAATCTTGTATTGTTCCACCCTCGCTCTGCAAAGGAGAGGTGCTGCAGGTTTTTTCTTCCTGCTGCTGTCAGACTGTACAACAAACAATGAGGACTGCCAAACACTGGCTGTCACTGTCCCTGTGCCCCAGGCCTCATGCTGCAGATGTTCAGATGTAAACAAACAAAAACTATACATTTCTTGCACCAGGACATAGAGTATTTAATATTATCTTCTTTGTTATGCTCAGTTCCAGATGTTAAACTTCTGTAACTTTATGATACAACACTGACATTTCCTCACTGTGTGTTTTCTTCATCTCAGCTCAGACTGACTTTCATCCAGTCCTGATGTTACGGTCGAGGAGCTGCTCTGTTCACTGGGCCTCATTTAAAGCTCTAGACGTGTGTGGACCAGGTGTGGACCAGGTGTGGACCAGGTGCGGACCAGGTGTGGACCAGGTGTGGACCAAGTGTGGACCAGGTGCGGACCAGACGTGGACCAGGTGTGGACCAAGTGTGGACCAGGTGCGGACCAGGCGTGGACCAGGTGCGGACCAGACGTGGACCAGATGTGGACCAGGTGTGGACCAGGTGCGGACCAGGTGTGGACCAGGTGCGGACCAGGTGTGGACCAGGTGTGGACCAGGTGTGGACCAGGTGTGGACCAAGTGTGGACCAAGTGTGGACCAGGTGTGGACCAGGTGTGGACCAGGTGTGGACCAGGTGTGGACCAGGTGTGGACCAAGTGTGGACCAAGTGTGGACCAGGTGTGGACCAGGTGTGGACCAAGTGTGGACCAGGTGTGGACGGGGAAAGTAAATCTCAATACATAAGCTTCAAATTCTGAAGCTCAGGTCTCCTCCTTCACCTCCTCCATCACCTCATCACCTCCTCCATCACCTCCTCTTCACCTCCTCCATCACCTCCTCATCACCTCCTCCATCACCTCATCACCTCCTCCATCACCTCCTCTTCACCTCCTCCATCACCTCCTCCATCACCTCCTCATCACCTCCTCATCACCTCCTCATCACCTCCTCCATCACCTCATCACCTCCTCCATCACCTCCTCCATCACCTCCTCTTCACCTCCTCCATCACCTCATCACCTCATCACCTCATCACCTCCTCCATCACCTCATCACCTCCTCCATCACCTCCTCTTCACCTCCTCCATCACCTCCTCTTCACCTCCTCCATCACCTCATCACCTCCTCCATCACCTCCTCCATCACCTCCTCCATCACCTCATCACCTCCTCCATCACCTCATCACCTCCTCTTCACCTCCTCCATCACCTCATCACCTCCTCCATCACCTCCTCTTCACCTCCTCCATCACCTCATCACCTCCTCTTCACCTCCTCCATCACCTCCTCTTCACCTCCTCCATCACCTCATCACCTCCTCATCACCTCCTCCATCACCTCATCACCTCCTCCATCACCTCCTCTTCACCTCCTCCATCACCTCATCACCTCCTCCATCACCTCCTCTTCACCTCCTCCATCACCTCAGCACCTCCTCCATCACCTCATCACCTCCTCCATCACCTCCTCTTCACCTCCTCCATCACCTCATCACCTCCTCCATCACCTCCTCTTCACCTCCTTCATCACCTCATCACCTCCTCCATCACCTCATCACCTCCTCCTTCACCTCATCACCTCCTCCATCACCTCATCACCTCATCACCTCCTCCATCACCTCATCACCTCCTCCATCACCTCCTCATCACCTCCTCATCACCTCCTCCATCACCTCCTCATCACCTCCTCATCACCTCCTCATCACCTCCTCCTTCACTGTCTCCATCACCTCCTCATCACCTCAGTTTTCTCTGAGCACTTTACAAAACTGTCAATTTGCCAACACAGATTAGAGAATCAACTAGTTCAAAAACAGGAAATACAATAATAAAGAACCAGCTGTTGATCCATGAGAGCCAGAGGACCATGAGAGCCAGAGGACCATGAGAGCCAGAGGACCCTGAGAGCCAGAGGACCATGAGAGCCAGATGACCATGAGAGCCAGAGGACCATGAGAGCCAGATGACCATGAGAGCCAGAGGACCATGAGAGCCAGAGGACCATGAGAGCCAGAGGACCCTGAGGACCATGAGAGCCAGAGGACCATGAGAGCCAGAGGACCATGAGAGCCAGATGACCATGAGAGCCAGAGGACCATGAGAGCCAGAGGACCATGAGAGCCAGAGGACCATGAGAGCCAGAGGACCATGAGAGCCAGAGGACCCTGAGAGCCAGAGGACCATGAGAGCCAGAGGACCATGAGAGCCAGAGGACCATGAGAGCCAGAGGACCCTGAGAGCCAGAGGACCCTGAGAGCCAGAGGACCATGAGAGCCAGAGGACCATGAGAGCCAGAGGACCATGAGAGCCAGAGGACCATGAGAGCCAGAGGACCATGAGAGCCAGAGGACCTGAGAGCCAGAGGACCCTGAGAGCCAGAGGACCCTGAGAGCCAGAGGACCATGAGAGCCAGAGGACCATGAGAGCCAGAGGACCATGAGAGCCAGAGGACCATGAGAGCCAGAGGACCCTGAGAGCCAGAGGACCATGAGAGCCAGAGGACCATGAGAGCCAGAGACATGAGAGCCAGAGAGAGCCAGAGGACCATGAGAGCCAGAGGACCATGAGAGCCAGAGGACCATGAGAGCCAGAGGACCATGAGAGCCAGAGGACCATGAGAGCCAGAGACCATGAGAGCCAGATGACCATGAGAGCCAGAGGACCATGAGAGCCAGAGGACCATGAGAGCCAGAGGACCATGAGAGCCAGAGGACCATGAGAGCCAGAGGACCTGAGAGCCAGAGGACCCTGAGAGCCAGAGGACCTGAGAGCCAGAGGACCATGAGCCAGAGGACCATGAGAGCCAGAGGACCCTGAGAGCCAGAGGACCCTGAGAGCCAGAGGACCATGAGAGCCAGAGGACCATGAGAGCCAGAGGACCATGAGAGCCAGAGGACCATGAGAGCCAGAGGACCATGAGAGCCAGAGGACCATGAGAGCCAGAGGACCATGAGAGCCAGAGGACCATGAGAGCAGAGGACCATGAGAGCCAGAGGACCATGAGAGTCAGAGGACCATGAGAGCCAGAGACCATGAGAGCCAGAGGACCATGAGAGCCAGAGGACCCTGAGAGCCAGAGGACCATGAGAGCCAGAGGACCATGAGAGCCAGATGACCATGAGAGCCAGATGACCATGAGAGCCAGAGGACCATGAGAGCCAGATGACCATGAGAGCCAGATGACCATGAGAGCCAGAGGACCATGAGAGCCAGAGGACCATGAGAGCCAGAGGACCATGAGAGCCAGATGACCATGAGAGCCAGATGACCATGAGAGCCAGAGGACCCTGAGAGCCAGAGGACCCTGAGAGCCAGAGGACCATGAGCGCCAGAGGACCATGAGAGCCAGAGGACCATGAGAGCCAGAGGACCATGAGAGCCAGAGGACCATGAGAGCCAGAGGACCCTGAGAGCCAGAGGACCCTGAGAGCCAGAGGACCATGAGAGCCAGAGGACCATGAGAGCCAGCAGGACCCTGAGAGCCAGAGGACCCTGAGAGCCAGAGGACCCATGAGAGCCAGAGGACCATGAGAGCCAGAGGACCATGAGAGCCAGAGGACCCTGAGAGCCAGAGGACCCTGAGAGCCAGAGGACCATGAGAGCCAGAGGACCATGAGAGCCAGAGGACCATGAGAGCCAGAGGACCATGAGAGCCAGAGGACCATGAGAGCCAGAGGACCCTGAGAGCCAGAGGACCATGAGAGCCAGAGGACCATGAGAGCCAGAGGACCATGAGAGCCAGAGGACCATGAGAGCCAGAGGAGCAGACCGTGGAGCTGTATTGACACCCTGTAACCACAGCAACAAGAAACTATCATGTCCTGTAACCACTGCAGTGATCATCAACTGGCGGCCCGCGGGCTGAATCCGGCCCATCAATCTGGACCGTAACTATTCCATTACCTATTGTTGTAATGTAATGTGTTCCAGCTTCTTCCCTCTGGCAGAGGATGTCGTTTGCTGAGATCAGGACAGTTTTCTCTCAGCTTCTTTCCACAAACAAAAAGCTTTCAATGATCGTCACTTGTTTTGAAACTGTTTGAGTTTGATGGATTTTACAGTCAAGTGTTTCCTGTGTTGTTGGTTACTGCTCTGGGGCTTTGTGGGTCTATTCCAACAGGGTTTTACTGCAACTGGCAAATAAAGGAATCTGAATCTGATTTAATTTTCTCTTTGGATCCGGCCCCGAGGAGCTCTACAGTGTGTGTGTGTGTGTGTGTGTGTGTGTGTCTACAGTGTGTGTGTGTGTATGTCTATAGTGTGTGTCTACAGTGTGTGTGTGTCTACAGTGTGTGTGTGTGTCTATAGTGTGTATACAGTGTGTGTGTGTCTACACTCTACAGTGTGTGTGTGTATACAGTGTGTGTCTACAGTGTGTGTGTGTGTCTACAGTGTGTGTGTGTGTGTGTGTCTACACTCTACAGTGTGTGTGTGTATACAGTGTGTGTGTGTGTCTACAGTGTGTGTGTGTGTGTGTGTCTACAGTGTGTGTGTGCGTGTGTCTACAGTGTGTGTGTGTCTCATCTCTGAAGCTGCCCTGTCCTGTAGCAGTGTGGCAGTCTGAAGCTGCCCTGTCCTGTGGCAGTGTGGCAGTCTGAAGCTGCCCTGTCCTGTGGCAGTGTGGCAGTCTGAAGCTGCCCTGTCCTGTGGCAGTGTGGCAGTCTGAAGCTGCCCTGTCCTGTGGCAGTGTGGCAGTGTGGCAGTCTGAAGCTGCCCTGTCCTGTGGCAGTGTGGCAGTCTGAAGCTGCCCTGTCCTGTGGCAGTGTGGCAGTCTGAAGCTGCCCTGTCCTGTGGCAGTGTGGCAGTGTGGCAGTCTGAAGCTGCCCTGTCCTGTGGCAGTGTGGCAGTCTGAAGCTGCCCTGTCCTGTGGCAGTGTGGCAGTCTGAAGCTGCCCTGTCCTGTGGCAGTGTGGCAGTCTGAGTGTGGCAGTGTGGCAGTGTGGCAGTCTGAAGCTGCCCTGTCCTGTGGCAGTGTGGCAGTCTGAAGCTGCCCTGTCCTGTGGCAGTGTGGCAGTCTGAAGCTGCCCTGTCCTGTGGCAGTGTGGCAGTCTGAGTGTGGCAGTGTGGCAGTGTGGCAGTCTGAAGCTGCCCTGTCCTGTGGCAGTGTGGCAGTCTGAGTGTGGCAGTGTGGCAGTGTGGCAGTCTGAAGCTGCCCTGTCCTGTGGCAGTGTGGCAGTCTGAAGCTGCCCTGTCCTGTGGCAGTGTGGCAGTCTGAAGCTGCCCTGTCCTGTGGCAGTGTGGCAGTGTGGCAGTGTGGCAGTCTGAAGCTGCCCTGTCCTGTGGCCGTTGCTGGAGCAGAAGCAGCTGTTTTCTCTGAGCTGCCTTTTGTAAAACATGTCACAATAAAAAGCAGCTTTGACAGAGCGACTGATCCACTGTTTCACTGAGACAAGCGTTTATGTGAAAGTGTTCTGAACTCTTTATTCTCTTTATTTTAACAAAGACATTCATTTCCAAATATAACTTCTTTATTCTTACAGTACTGATATCACCAGTGAAAATATGATGAGGTAAAATATTCTCAGTTTACTTTGAGATCGTCTCAGATCTTTGCATGCTCTGTGTCATAACTTTGTATACTTAGTTTACACACATTTCTGATGTGTCGATCCCAGGGTCTTTATTGATAAAAAAGACATACAACCAGTTAAAAAAAAGGTGAAAAGGTTTTAAGGAGTCTTCTCAAATATGGCTTCAGTCATTTTGTAGATTTGAGCCAAAGTGTCTGATTTTCCGTCTAAGTTCCAGATTCCAAATGTCCTGAATTGAGTTATTTTCTTCCATTTCTATACATTAGAAACAGACATTTAGTTTTTCCAACAGACAGAGTCCACAGGAAGTAAATATGCACAATAATAAATACCACATCATGTTGTCACTAAACCAGGCTTCGGGCCGAGAGCTGATTGGCTGAGGGAGGGTCGGCTTCTCAGACACTTTCTCTGCTAATCTGTTTAAACCACATACTTTCTGATGTCCACCGTCCTGTTCTCGCCGCGGCGCAGATGACACAGGACCTGTCTGCTCTGGTCACAAAACCTTTGGACAGTGTTGTGTCTTTTATCCGCGCTGCACAATGGAATCTTTGTCCTTGGAAACTTTCTGGGCCTGCACATATAAATCATATTGTAGTGCGGTGGTTGGAGTGTGTACTTCTCATGCCAGAGCCCCCACTGAGGATGGGGCCCCGAGCTCATAGTGCACTGGGCTGGTCTGCTGTTCGCTCTGCAACCCCGCCCTGCCCCCGCTATTAAATATACACACACTGGGATGGGGATTTGTTGCTGGGATTTGTTGAAGCAAAGGGTAAAAGTGGGGGAAATGTTAAAGACATACCATGCTTCTGTCTGATTATATACTGATCATCTTTTCAATTTAAGTCAACTTATTTTTGTATAGTCCTAAATGACAACTGTAGGTATCTCAGAGGACCTTACAAACATACAAAGTTTTTAATTCACCAACACAGATCAGAGAATCAAAACACATAGAGCATTGGTCCATACGGGGCAGGTGACCACTGTGTGTTAATGTTGATAAATGTGGTTGAATGTGGAGCGTCCTGGATCATCCCCGCTGTCCTTAGACTCTCCTGCATCAGCAACAAACAACTCTGAAAGCCCAGTGGGAGAAAAGTGAGAAACCTCGAGGAGGCCTTCGGGGGGGTTTCCATGGATGGACGGGCTTTAGATCCAGGACTCAGGCTGTAGAACGAGGACCGAGGCCAGACTGAGGCGGCTCCCAGGTGGGGAGTCCAGGCCGGGGAAGACAGTCCACAGGTGCCCATGGAGGAGGCCGGGTTCTGGGATCCCATGATTGCGCCATAAAACAGACAATGGGAGAGCGGATGAATAGCAATGAACAGACTACAGCTGAAGTCATAATGATGATGATGATCATAATGATAAAGTCGGAAGAGGAAAAGTAACAATCCTTCTCCAGCAAAGTGACTCCAGGACATTACTCAACAACATTGTTAAGTCCTCCCAGACCACTGCTGTTGTGAAAGAGGCTAAACAATTTATTCCTAAAGATAAAGGTGAGATTTATTAATCCCCGTAGGGCAACTAATCCTCTGCATTTGACCCATCCTGATGCCTCTAAGGCTTACGTCAGGAGCAGTGGTTGCCGTAGTAACAGCGCCCGGGAACCCATCTCCAGATGTTGACGCTCGGCTTGGTCGGGACTAGTTTTAACGCAAACACGGGGAGAAAATGCAAACTTCTCTCTGTTCTGACTGAGATTCGAACCCAGGACCTTCTTGCTGAGGAGTGAGAGTGCTAACCACTCAGCCACCATGCAGCTCAGTCTTCCCTGTGAAGACTTCTCTTCACTTCCAATTAGTATATGACTTATTGATACAGTAACTATTTTCTTTTGCCTTATCCAGTGCGAGGCCCCAGTCCTATCTGCCCCTGGAACCTACGACACCCTCTGGAAATCCTGCTGTGCTGAGCTCAGTTCCCTCTGATTTACTGATACAACATGGAACAGAGTTGGTGAAGTCATGAGCAACATTATCAGGTCAGTCATGATGGAAGGATGGGTCTGATGGTTAAAACATCTGGTCATGGTTGTGGTTTCAAACATCTACGTCAGTCATAGTGCCAGTAAATGCAAATTGGTTCTGACCAATCCAGTTGGTAGTTACCAATGGCTGAAGTGTCTTGCCCAAGGACGCAACAAGGATTTAGCACTTTACAGCTGCAGCCGCCTCACTGCTACACCTGGTGTCTCCCATCATCTAACCAGGCCTTACCCTGCTTAGCTTGTGAAGTCCGATGGGCTCAGTCTTTCATATGCACCATAATAGACCAATGATAATAATAATAATAATGATAATGATAATAATACAGTGCCTTGCGAAAGTATTCGGCCCCCTTGAACCTTTCAACATTTCGCCACATTTCAGGCTTCAAACATAAAAATTAAATTTTTTGTCAAGAATCAACAACAACTTTTTTAACAAATAAAAAACTGAAAAGTGGGGCGTGCAATATTATTCGGCCCCTTGCGCTAATACTTTGTAGCGCCACCTTTTGCTGCAATTACAGCTGCAAGTCGCTTGGGGTATGTCTCTATCAGTTTTGCACATCGAGAGACTGGAATTCTTGCCCATTCTTCCTTGCAAAACAGCTCGAGCTCAGTGAGGTTGGATGGAGAGTGTTTGTGAACAGCAGTCTTCAGCTCTTTCCACAGATTCTCGATTGGATTCAGGTCTTGACTTTGACTTGGCCATTCTAACACCTGGATACGTCTATTTGTGAACCATTCCATTGTAGATTTGGCTTTATGTTTTGGATCATTGTCCTGTTGGAAGATAAATCTCCGTCCCAGTCTCAGGTCTTTTGCAGACTCCAACAGGTTTTCTTCCAGAATGGTCCTGTATTTGGCTCCATCCATCTTCCCATCAATTTTAGCCATCTTCCCTGTCCCTGCTGAAGAAAAGCAGGCCCAAAGCATGATGCTGCCACCACCATGTTTGACAGTGGGGATGGTGTGTTCAGGGTGATGAGCTGTGTTGCTTTTACGCCAAACATATCGTTTTGCATTGTGGCCAAAAAGTTCGATTTTGGTTTCATCTGACCAGAGCACCTTCTTCCACATGTTTGGTGTGTCTCCCAGGTGGCTTGTGGCAAACTTTAAACGAGACTTTTTATGGATATCTTTGAGAAATGGCTTTCTTCTTGCCACTCTTCCATAAAGGCCAGATTTGTGCAGTGCACGACTGATTGTTGTCCTATGGACAGACTCTCCCACCTCAGCTGTAGTTATCTGCAGTTCATCCAGAGTGATCATGGGCCTCTTGGCTGCATCTCTGATCAGTCTTCTCCTTGTTTGAGATGAAAGTTTGGAGGGACGGCCGGGTCTTGGTAGATTTGCAGTGGTCTGATACTCCTTCCATTTCAATATTAATTGCTTGCACAGTGCTCCTTGAGATGTTTAAAGCTTGGGAAATCTTTTTGTATCCAAATCCGGCTTTAAACTTGTCCACAACAGTATCTCGGACCTGCCTGGTGTGTTCCTTTGTCTTCATGGTTCTCTCTGTGCTTTAAACAGAACCCTGAGACTATCAAAGAGCAGGTGCATTTATACGGAGACTTGATTACACACAGGTGCATTCTATTTATCATCATCAGTCATTTAGGACAACATTGGATCATTCAAAGATCCTCACTGAACTTCTGGACTGAGTTTGCTGCACTGAAAGTAAAGGGGCCCAATAATATTGCACGCCCCACTTTTCAGTTTTTTATTTGTTAAAAAAGTTTAAATTATCCAATACATTTTGTTCCACTTCACGATTGTGTCCCACTTGTTGTTGATTCATGACAAAACAGGGTGAGTTTCAGGGTGGGATTAGAGTTTTTCAGGGTGAGATTAGAGTTCTTCAGGGTGAGATGGGAGTTTTTCAGGGTGAGATTAGAGTTTTTCAGGGTGAGATGGGAGTTTTTCAGGGTGAGATTAGAGTTTTTCAGGGTGAGATGAGAGTTTTTCCAACGTTGAGTGCAGCGACTCTCCTGATAAAAAGTATGTTGAGTCCTTGGTCCTTTTCTCTTATCACTGTCTGAACAATAACTGCCCCGTCTGCCCCAAAATTCCTCCCCTCCTCCCTGCACTTCAGACATGAGCTCCCATAGTTTGATAGCGTGTTCCCGGCCCCTTCCCCCCGCCCCTCCTCCTCTCGCCACATTCCCAGCAGCAGTGCCCCGGCTCTGGGCTGGTCGCGGCAGGGAGCAGTCTGCGCGCCCTCCTCTGTGTATTGTTCCCAAACAGACCTTGAATTTGACCTTCTTCAACTTGGCTTCAAAACAAATTGACAACTTATGTGACATCTGCATTGCGGTGTTGCCTTTAGGAGATGCCGAACACATGCAGGGCGCGGCGCTCTGTTCTGGGTCTGGATTCCAACGTTTCAACCAAAAAAATAAAACATAAATTGGAGTTTGTATGTCCTGACCGGCGTTCACCCCTTCACTGCTTTGCTTTGAAGGAAATTGACACGTAAAGGTCATGTGTGTAGCACGCAGCGTTTATCATGTTATTGAAAAAGGACAATTTAGGTCTATTCTAGTTTTACGGCCTCTGTCACATCTTTAGCTTTATCAGAAAAGAGAAAAGCACTTTCACTCACAGTCAACGAGCTCTCAGCCCAAAGAGTCCAATACTGACTCACAGGGCTCTTTCTAACAAGTATGTTTTTTCCCCCGAATGAGACACAGGCAGCATGTTGTTGTCTCATTTGGAAGACTCTGTTGTGACAAACAAAACATCATTATTTATGAATTAAAGGAAAGTTCAATGTGTAACTGTGTAATCGTCCCTCTGCGTCTTGACCAACGTCTATCATGATACACTTCAATATTTCTTATTGCCATGGCACATGTTAACAGTTTTTATAGATATTTTTCATTCATACTATGCCCATAGGCCATCAGAGACTTGAGTATGGCCACCCCCTCTTGGCACCTCTTTCCACGAGAAACACCATATCAAACCCCTCTCAAGGAGTTGGGTTCAGAGCCCGAGCTGTGTGTGGAGGCCCCCAGTGAGGTGACGTTCCAAGTTGCGATTCCCAACCCCGGGCCTGGCTCCAGGATGGGGCCCCGGCTGTGCCATCCCGGGCGACGTCACAGATCTTCTTATCCTGCTTTCCATGTAGGCTTCAGACTGTGCTTCGTCCGACTCGTCGCCCAAGACCTGTTTGCATAAAGCCCCCGACAACATATCTCCCAGGATCATCCGAGTACTCATTCTACCCTCGTACGTTAAGGTGGCAGTCCAGGGGGGGAGCAAATTCAATTCCATTTATTTATTTGTATAACCCAACTTCACAAAGTTGTCGATTTGCCAACACAGATCAGAGCATCAGACGCTTCAAACACAGGAAATGCAGATGACCAATGTCCATGTATGTTAATATGTTCATGTATGTTAATATGTTCATGTATGTTAATATGTCCATGTATGTGTCCATATATGTTAATATGTTCATGTATGTTAATATGTCCATGTATGTTAATATGTCCATGTATGTTAATATGTCCATGTATGTTAATATGTATGTTAATATGTCCATGTATGTTAATATGTCCATGTATGTTAATATGTCCATGTATGTTAATATGTCTATGTATGTTAATATGTTCATGTATGTTAATATGTTCATGTATGTTAATATGTTCATGTATGTTAATATGTCCATGTTATGTGTCCATGTATGTTAATATGTCCATGTATGTTAATATGTCCATGTATGTAATATGTCCATGTATGTAATATGTCCATGTATGTTAATATGTCCATGTATGTTAATATGTCCATGTATGTTAATATGTCCATGTATGTTAATATGTCCATGTATGTTATATGTCCATGTATGTTAATATGTCCATGTATGTTAATATGTCCATGTATGTTAATATGTCCATGTATGTAATATGTCCATGTATGTTAATATGTCCATGTATGTGTCCATGTATGTTAATATGTCCATGTATGTGTCCATAATATGTTGAATATGTCCATGTATGTTAATATGTCCATGTATGTTAATATGTCCATGTTATAGTCCATGTATGTTAATATGTCCATGTATGTTAATATGTCCATGTATGTTAATATGTCCATGTATGTTAATATGTCCATGTATGTTAATATGTCCATGTATGTTAATATGTCCATGTATGTTAATATGTCCATGTATGTATGTCCATGTATGTTAATATGTCCATGTATGTGTCCATGTATGTTATATGTCCATGTATGTTAATATGTCCATGTATGTTAATATGTCCATGTATGTTATATGTCCATGTATGTTAATATGTCCATGTATGTTAATATGTCCATGTATGTTAATATGTCCATGTATGTTAATATGTCCATGTATGTTAATATGTCCATGTATGTTAATATGTCCATGTATGTTAATATGTCCATGTATGTTGTTGAATGACCAGTGTCCTGGATCACCACTGTCCTTAGAACCTCCTACATCAGTAAAGAACAACTCTAAAAACCCAGTGGGAGAAAGTGAGGAACCTTGGGGGGATCCACATGGAGGGATCTGCTCCACACACGGACTAAAGCTCCAAGACAGTCTCAAGCTGTGAGGGGACAAATGTGTGGATTAGTTTTTCTGTATCACTGTAAGGAGGAGATTCTGGATTGTAGCTTTGTTTCGCAAATATGCAGCTTTAGTTTTTTTATTTATATGTGCACATTATTCCTCACAGTGTTGCCAGGGACCCTCACAGCGTTGCCAGGGACCCTCACAGCGTTGCCAGGGACCCTCTCAGTGTTGCCAGGGACCCTCAGTGTTGCCAGGGACCCTCACAGCGTTGCCAGGGACCCTCAGTGTTGCCAGGGACCCTCTCAGTGTTGCCAGGGACCCTCAGTGTTGCCAGGGACCCTCACAGCGTTGCCAGGGACCCTCAGTGTTGCCAGGGACCCTCACAGCGTTGCCAGGGACCCTCAGTGTTGCCAGGGACCCTCTCAGTGTTGCCAGGGACCCTCAGTGTTGCCAGGGACCCTCACAGCGTTGCCAGGGACCCTCTCAGTGTTGCCAGGGACCCTCACAGCATTGCCAGGGACCCTCAGTGTTGCCAGGGACCCTCACAGCATTGCCAGGGACCCTCAGTGTTGCCAGGGACCCTCACAGCGTTGCCAGGGACCCTCTCAGTGTTGCCAGGGACCCTCACAGCGTTGCCGGGGACCCTCACAGCGTTGCCAGGGACCCTCTCAGTGTTGCCAGGGACCCTCACAGCATTGCCAGGGACCCTCAGTGTTGCCAGGGACCCTCACAGCGTTGCCAGGGACCCTCAGTGTTGCCAGGGACCCTCACAGCGTTGCCAGGGACCCTCTCAGTGTTGCCAGGGACCCTCACAGCATTGCCAGGGACCCTCAGTGTTGCCAGGGACCCTCACAGCGTTGCCAGGGACCCTCACAGCGTTGCCGGGGACCCTCACAGCGTTGCCAGGGACCCTCAGTGTTGCCAGGGACCCTCACAGCGTTGCCGGGGACCCTCACAGCGTTGCCGGGGACCCTCACAGCGTTGCCGGGGACCCTCACAGTGTTGGGACCACGCTAACATTATCGAGTGTGATTCTGATCAGCGCGTTAGTAGCGCAGACGTTTGGAGCCGTGTATTTGTTTTTTTTCAAGTCGAGGAGCAGATGATTTGGGGTTATCCTTGTTTTTAAGTCTGGTTTGTATGAGCAGGACCTAGTAATATATCTTTTTTTTTCAATATAATTTGTATTTTTATGCTATTTACAATCAGTCACTCGAGTTTCATTCAAATTTACTTTAATTGGTCCAAAAGGGGCAGAGACCGAAGTCCATAAATGTCATTTAAATCATATGTTTCAAACATGATTGATCACCCTTTCACAGGTTGGTCTCTGTTGGTCTCTCTTGGACTCTGTTGGTCTCTCTTGGACTCTCTTGGACTCTGTTGGTCTCTGTTGGTCTCTCTTGGACTCTCTTGGACCTTGTTGGACTCTGTTGGACTCTGTTGGTCTCTGTTGGTCTCTCTTGGACTCTGTTGGTCTCTCTTGGACTCTCTTGGACCTTGTTGGACTCTGTTGGACTCTGTTGGTCTCTGTTGGTCTCTCTTGGACTCTCTTGGACCTTGTTGGACTCTCTTGGACCTTGTTGGACTCTGTTGGTCTCTGTTGGACTCTGTTGGTCTCTGTCAGTGATGGGCAAGCTACTTGATTTGTGTAGTGAGCTAAGCTACAAGCTACTCTACAATAAATTCAGCTTCACTGCACAGAAGCTACCACCCATACAAATGCAGCAAGCTAAGTTACAAAATTCTGTCAAAAGTAGCTTGCTATATAGAAGCTATTTTCAATTAAACAAACTGCAGTTCATGCAATTTTATATTTTCCTGCATTAACATGTTTTCTCATTTCTTATTTTTTGCACAATTCTTGAGTGTTTTATCCATGCCAAATGTGACATGTAAATTTCTCCTGTGTGAGATTAATAAAGCTTTTCTTCTTATTTGAGATAAACTGTCAGTCAGATAACAGTAAAATTTTTTAGATATTTATTGAACAATAGCCCAAAACACCAAAAACAACAAAGAGTAGGCATCTGAAAACATATTTCTTTTCGCTCATCTCGACTAGAGTGACGTACTTTTGGAGGTATGGCCACGGTGTGTGTGTGTGTGTGTGTGTGTGTATGTGTGTGTGTGTATGTGTGTGTATGTGTGTGTGTGTATGGCCACGGTACAACACTTTGAGAGTCCTTATCATGGTCCTCCTCCACCGCGGCGGCTCCTGGGCTCTCTGCCGTTGCTTTTGCTTCCCCCAGTAGGGCGCGCGCATGTGTGTGCGTGTGTGTGTGTGCGCGTACGTTCGTGTGTGTGTGTGTGTGTGTGTGTGCGTGTGTGTGTGCGCGTACGTTCGTGTGTGTGTGTCGTTACCAAGCCCTGCGCATGCGCATCAGCATTCTGTCTTTCTATATGTTTGTTTTATGCTGCGGGAAAATGCTGTAATATATGAACATCAGAGATGTCCGTGAGAAAATAGCTTTGGCGGACGCTACCGCGCTACTTGAGCAATAATATAGCTTAGCTACAGAAAAGTTACTAGGTTTTGTAAATAGTGACGCTACTGTCAAGCTACTGAAAAATGTAGTTAAGCTAGTAGCGACGCTACTGCCCATCACTGGTCTCTATTGGACTTTGTTGGTCTCTGTTGGACTCTGTTGGTCTCTGTTGGACTCTGTTGGTCTCTGTTGGACTCTGTTGGTCTCTGTTGGTCTCTCTTGGGCTCTCTTGGACCTTGTTGGACTCTGTTGGACTCTGTTGGACTCTGTTGGTCTCTGTTGGACTCTGTTGGTCTCTGTTGGTCTCTCTTGGGCTCTCTTGGACCTTGTTGGACTCTGTTGGACTCTGTTGGACTCTGTTGGTCTCTGTTGGTCTCTGTTGGACTCTGTTGGTCTCTCTTGGACCTTGTTGGACTCTGTTGGTCTCTGTTGGTCTCTGTTGGACTCTGTTGGACTCTGTTGGACTCCGTTGGTCTCTGTTGGACTCTGTTGGTCTCTGTTGGACTCTGTTGCACCCTGTTGGTCTCTGTTGGACTCTGTTGGTCTCTGTTGGTCTCTGTTGGACTCTCTTGGACCTTGTTGGACTCTGTTGATCTCTGTTGGACTCTGTTGGTCTCTGTTGGTCTCTGTTGGACTCTCTTGGACCTTGTTGGACTCTGTTGGTCTCTGTTGGACTCTGTTGGTCTCTGTTGGTCTCTGTTGGACTCTCTTGGACCTTGTTGGACTCTGTTGATCTCTGTTGGACTCTGTTGCACCCTGTTGGTCTCTGTTGGACTCTGTTGGTCTCTGTTGGTCTCTGTTGGACCTTGTTGGACTCTGTTGGTCTCTCTTGGACTCTGTTGGTCTCTGTTGGTCTCTCTTGGACCTTGTTTGACTCTGTTGGTCTCTGTTGGTCTCTGTTGGACTCTGTTGGTCTCTGTTGGACTCTCTTGGACCTTGTTTGACTCTGTTGGACTCTGTTGGTCTCTGTTCGACTCTCTTGGACCTTGTTTGACTCTGTTGGTCTCTGTTGGTCTCTGTTGGACTCTTTTGGACTCTGTTGGTCTCTGTTGGACTCTCTTGGACCTTGTTTGACTCTGTTGGTCTCTGTTGGTCTCTGTTGGACTCTGTTGGTCTCTCTTGGACCTTGTTGGACTCTGTTGGACTCTGTTGGACACTGTTGGTCTCTGTTGGACTCTCTTGGACCTTGTTGGACTCTGTTGGTCTCTGTTGGTCTCTGTTGGTCTCTGTTGGACTCTGTTGGTCTCTGTTGGTCTCTGTTGGTCTCTGTTGGACTCTGTTGGTCTCTGTTGGTCTCTCTTAGTAATAGTAGTAATCTAGTAATCTTTATTTATATACCGCCTTTTCACTGCAGATCTGAGTCTCAAAGCGGTTTACAATTGTTAATTTTTTGGGCATTTGTCTCTCACTCCACACAGAGATGGGAGCGGGGCAGTACAGGAGGCGCATGCCAGAACTATTGGACATATTTTTAGTGGTAGGGGAAACCGGAGTACCCGGAGGAAACCTACGCAGACACGGGGAGAACATGCAAACTCCACTCAGAAAGGCCCTGGTCCGACCAGGATTCGAACCCAGGACCTTCTTGCTGAGTTGGTCTCTGTTGGACTCTCTTGGACCTTGTTGGACTCTGTTGGACTCTCTTGGACCTTGTTGGTCTCTGTTGGACTCTCTTGGACCTTGTTTGACTCTGTTGGTCTCTGTTGGACTCTGTTGGTCTCTGTTGGACTCTGTTGGACTCTGTTGGACTCTGTTGGTCTCTGTTGGTCTCTGTTGGACTCTTTTGGACTCTGTTGGTCTCTGTTGGACTCTCTTGGACCTTGTTTGACTCTGTTGGTCTCTGTTGGTCTCTCTTGGACCTTGTTGGACTCTGTTGCACTCTGTTGGACACTGTTGGTCTCTGTTGGACTCTCTTGGACCTTGTTGGACTCTGTTGGTCTCTGTTGGTCTCTCTTGGACCTTGTTGGACTCTGTTGGTCTCTGTTGGACTCTGTTGGTCTCTGTTGGTCTCTGTTGGACTCTGTTGGTCTCTGTTGGTCTCTGTTGGACTGTCTTGGACCTTGTTGGACTCTGTTGGACTGTCTTGGACCTTGTTGGACTCTGTTGGTCTCTGTTGGTCTCTGTTGGTCTCTCTTGGACTCTGTTGGACTCTGTTGGTCTCTGTTGGTCTCTCTTGGACCTTGTTGGACTCTGTTGGTCTCTGTTGGACTCTGTTGGTCTCTGTTGGACTCTGTTGGTCTCTGTTGGTCTCTGTTGGACTCTCTTGGACTCTCTTGGACCTTGTTGGACTCTGTTGGTCTCTGTTGGACTTTGTTAGACTCTGTTGGTCTCTATTGGACCCTGTTGGATTCTGCTAGATCCTATTGGCCTCTGTTAGACTCTGTTGGACTCTGTGAACCCGACGACCAGCGGCTTGAACACCTCTCATGCAGCTTTCCAGTGCTGCATGATTGACAGCCCGGTTCTAAGCTGTGGATATTGGCTTTACGGAGCGTGCCTGTCACAGCGGGGCACACATGGCACAGAGCTCCCAGAATGCACTTAGGCCTGGGCTTTGGTGCCCGCGGCGCTGGGGCGGACTGGTAAGAGTATTACACTGGTGCTCGTCCCAATACGGGGCTTGAACCGACTGTAAGTGCCGGTAATGCCAGGCCCGGTGACGCCAGGCCCGGTGACGCCAGGCCCGGTGACACCAAGCCCGGTGACGCCAGGCCCGGTGACGCCAGGCCCGGTGACGCCAGGCCCGGTGACACCAGGCCCGGTGACACCAGGCCCGGTGACACCAGGCCCGGTGACGCCAGGCCCGGTGACGCCAGGCCCGGTGACGCCAGGCCCGGTGACACCGCGCTCAGAACAGTACAATCACGCATTTTCTTACTTACTTCTTTATTGTCAGCCAAGATACGCATCGAGCTCCTGGGACTGTCAAACAAATGAGTCTAGGGGCCAATGAATCATTCTGACCTGCATTATTGGGTTGAATTCCACCTCCAGGACTTTCTAAGTGGAGTTTGCATGTTCTCCCCGTGTCTGTGTAGGTCTATTCCAGTCTCGTGTATATATATATATAATAGGTCTGTGCCTCCTGAAGGTGACTCTGCTCCCATCTCTGTGCGGAGCGACAGACTAATGCCCACAATTGTAAAGTGCTTTGTGACTCTGGTCTGTGAAAGGTGCCATATAAATAAATAAAAATTACTCACATATTTTTTAATTGTTCTAACACTAACCCCTCAAGTCTTTCATAAAGAATGTGTCTCACAAATACAGATTGAATGATGTGACATAATATTGATGCATCAGTTTTATACCCGTGGTGTTATTCTTTCCCTACTACAGAAGCCACAGCTGCCCTGGGGCAGTGACGAAAGCAAGGCAACTTATCTGAGACGTGCCACACACCAGACTCAGGGTTTGTGGGTGAAGTGTCTTGCCCACTGACAGTTTGGCACTTTACAGCCACCCACTGCTGCGCCTGATGTTCCCAGAGGTCTCCAAGAATCTCAACAGGAACCAGGCTTCGCTCTGCTGAGCTCTGAAGGACCAGGCTTTCACCTGCAGGTGGCGCCACTGATATAACATCACTTTTAGAAATATTTCCCACTTGCTGCAAATACCGATTGATTTTTCCTGAGGGCTCAGTTTGATATACTATATTGGACAATTACCGTCAATCACATAAAGTAGGAGGTGTGCCAGACCACAGCCGCTCACTGAAGTACAGCGGTCTCCCATCCAGGTCCTAACCAGGCCATCTGAGAATTTAAGATAATGACAAGGGAACTACATAACCAAAGTAAAAAGGCTTAAATCAGACATGTCAAACTCAGGCCTGAGACCATTTTAGTGACCCCTGAAATACTTGTATTACTTTTGTCATGATTGGATTAAAATAAGCTTTTTGCTTCCACCAGTCACTCTTCAAACCCTATATCCATCCAGCAGTCCTCTGGAATACCTCCTCAGAACCACATGAGGCAGTATTTCACTGTAGCTTCTTGAAAATGTGAGACAGGCTTCTTCTCAGACAGAGTTTCTTGAGCATAAACGTTGCTATACAAATAACCTTGCCTCAGACCCTGAAAGCGGCTGAAGGCTCTAAGACCGTTGGTGCTAAGCGTATTATGAGTCTGGCTCCTGAACAATGGGGAGGGCCCCGCTCCTCCGCAGTGGGGCCTAAGCTGATTCCTCTGGCCCCGTCTAGACACAGACCCACACAGGGGCCAGGGCTTAGTGGGCGTCGCACTTACCTTTGGAATAATACCACGGCTGCAGTCGGTCTCAGTTCACATCGGTTCAATTTATTTAGTTTAACAGATTACTGATTAAATGTGTTTTGGAAAATATGTTTCACTCAAGAATGGGTCAAATACAACTTTTCTCACAGGGATAGTTATATACCCTCTCAAACACCAGCTTAGATTATATTTGCATTTCTTACTTCAACCCTTTTCTCAGGGAAAATTGACCCTAAAAACATGTAGCACTGAATTTGGATTTTTCCTTTGACCTTTGGGTCAGACGATTTTGACCATATCTAAAGACGAAACAAACCTGGGATACATGCATGTCAAAGCCTGATCCAGTTAGATGTTAAACTAAGCAGGACAGGGCCTGGCTAGTACAGTGAGGGGAGACCTCTGTGAAAGTGCCAAACTGTCATCGTGCCCTTAAGCAAGACAGTAATGTGGGTGAAGTGTGTGAGTAAATGGTTGGATGAGCCGATGATACTGGAATAAGTTGCTCCAGGGCAGCTGTAGTAGTTTACCCCCCACCGTGAGGAAAGAACACAGCCAGGTGAAGACAAAGTGGCATAAAAAAAACTAAAAAATTATATTAAGTTTGAACCGTTTGATTTTCTGATCTGTGTTGGCAAATCGACAGCTTTGTAAAGTCCTCCAATGATAACTTGTGGTTTAGGGCTGAACAAAAATAAATTGAATTAATGAACTTTTGTCCTATAAAATCAAATTGTATGGATCACTCTTTGGACCATCCATAACTGGTTTTCTTTATGCCTTTAAGCGAAACATGACAAACCCAGAATCTCAAACTCCTTCAATTCTAAGCCTTTTAAATCCGCAAAAACAAACCATGAAAGAAAAACAAAAAACAAGATTTTCATTTTTTATTCATCAAGACACCAAGGACATTAAAAGCAGCAGAATATGAATCTTCAATCCGATTTGAGCGTTTTCATTCTGTACAGTTAGCGGACCCTGCAGACATACGCTTCACCGCGAGGCGACTCCAAACAAGCCAAACATTTATTAATCCAACTCTGCTAAATACCAAGAAATAATGCTGCGGCGTCAACATAAAAACAAAACAAAACAGTAAAAAGGTGTTCCTCTAGGTAGCTGTCAGGGTAAGAAGCCCCACAGATGAACCACAACGCACCTCGCCAAACCCCAGGAAATAAAAAGAGAGGGGGGGGGGGGGGGGGCATAGAAAAATAACCACAGCTTTTCATTCAATTTTTCAATCTTTTTCCGTTTCTTTACAACTGGGTCTGAAATAAGCCACTACGCACATGTGGTTCACCTTGTGTTTAAGAGGCGCGGGGGTCAGGTTTTCGGGTTTGGGGGTGTGGGAGAGTGGAGGGTCTTCATCCAGGCGTGTCAGCTTCACCTGCGAGGCCAAAGAGAAACGGTCACAGAGAAGGCGAGAGTTAGAAAAGTGGCCGGTGACGCTGTGCATGTAGCCGCGTAAGCTACAAACAAGACCAAAGCCTACACTCGGTTTCTCCCATTATCTATCGAGACAGCACTTGAAGGGTTAAATGTCCTTGTTTTGTTGGTTGGTTCTAAAGGGTGTCCCATAAATGAAGTAAAAACATCTCCACAAAAGAAGAATGTGGAATAACATGTTTTTTTAAAGTGCGTTAGGGCTGAAACAAGTTAAATTCAATCGATCAATTATCAAAATGGCAATCTTTTTAACCATACCAGGACAAAACATGCCACGCAGAGACTTTCTGATGCCGATAAGACCTAAAATATTATAATACATTCAAAATTATTATTAAACTACAGAATGACATGGGATTTAACCAATTTATGTTCGTCTCTAGTTTTTAGATGGCATCACTTTGGCTTTGCTTTGGGTCAAAAATGACAGATTTAAGCTGATTCTCATAGAAATGATAAATTACAGCTCTAATGTAGGGACAATGGTCACAGTCTAAGCCCGTGCACTGCCCACTTACACGTATAAAGTGAGTATTATTGGCAAAGGTTTTATATTTTGAGCATACACAATCCCTTATACCAGCATTATGAAGCACAATAGAGTTGAGTGTGTGACAGGCAACAGCATTCAACATGTGGGTAGAGAAAGGAGTACCTGGGTGAGTACCTGCACAGTGTGACAGTCAGTATCCATCACTTTCTAATTTGCCCTTTTTGCTCATGTGGTCTCGCTCACAAACACCAACGCTGTGTGAGGTACGGAAGTCAGCTGCAATTCATGTCATAACACCCTACTGTCCAGTTAGCATGTGTGGCAAAGACATCCCAGCAGAAACCAAATGTATCAGTATGTCGCTAGATCATAATGACATGTATGGATTTTATGGAATTTTTAGGACTACATTTTGAGGCTGGAAATAGGGGCGTTTAGAGCCACGTGTCCACATATACAAAAGAAATATATACACATCTGTTATTTCCAAAACATGGGGTACCTCCTGTTTGCTCAGGGCTACACTGGCTTTTCCCTCTGGGCTTTGTGTCAATCATTTCTACCTTCTTCTCATTCCTTCATCTTCAGTGCATACTTAAGATGCACTAGTCAAAAACAGGATAACACATATGCATATAGTACAGAAGACAAAATCAAAAGGCATTAAACTTGAGGATAGGAGAGGCTGGGAGGGGAGGGGTGAGGAGGGGAGGTGTTGAGGGGAAGGTGAGGGAAGCAGTGAGGGGGTGGAGAGCCAGGGTGAGCGGGCAGGGGGACACACTTACCTGAGCCTGATCTGAGGTCCTATCAGATCAGTTTTAATTGGACTGAGTGTCACCTTCAGATTGGACGAGCTCTGGTTGGCCATTAAGCTGAGGGGAGGAGCCAGAGGCAGGAGCCTCTGCTTCCATTGGTTCCGCTTCAGTAGAAGCCTTGATGGTGGACGCATCAATGTCCGAATGTTTGTCTTTCTTGGAACTGCTCTTTTCCTCAGTGTCTTTATATTCTGAAAGAAACATGTGATGAGTCAGAGTCAGCTGTTCAACGCTCCCGATCGAGAACTCAACACAGAAGCTCACCTTTGTCCTTTGACGAGTGCTCTTTGTCCCTGTCCTTGTCCCTGTCCTTGTCCCTGCCCTTGTCCCTGCCCTTGTCTTGTTCTCTATCTTTACTGCGACTGCGGTGTCTGTGAGATTTACGCTCTGCGCTGTGGGATCTCCTGCGCTCACGACTGCGAGAACGCCGCTTCTTGTCAGAACGATCGCGCTCACGACTGCGCCGTCTTTCGCGGTCTCTGTCCCGGCTCCTGCAAAACAGACATGTTTGAAGACGTGTGCAGTGACCAGGGCTGAGCGTACGACACACAGGGGCCTCACCTGCTGCGTTTGCGCTCCCTGTCTCGCTCTCTGCTCCGGGACCGGCGCCGGTCTCTGGAGCGGCTCCTCTTGCGCTCGCGGTCTGAGGCACGGCTCGAGTGGCGGCTGTGGGAGTTGCTTCGTCGGGATCTCCTGTCCCTGTCCCTCTCTCTGTCCCTGTCTCTGTCCCTCTCTCTCTCTCTGTCCCGTTCCTTTTCCTTCTCCCGTTCGCGCTCCTTCTCTTTCTCACGCTCTTTCTCCTTCTCTTCCTCCTCTTTGCGTTTCTTTTCCCTCTCTTCCCTCTCTCGCTCACGGTCTTCACGATCCTTCTTGACCACTGGGTTTTCTCCTGCTGGGTCCTCAGAGCGTCGCCGTAGCTTTTCCTGCAGGTCACAAGAGCCCGATGAGGTGAACCGGTCGAGCAGACACGTGGGCAGCAAAGGAAAGAAGCGTTACCTTCAGCTCCTCTACAGTGGATTTGATTTTGGCGTAGCCCATGTGCTGTTTGCCCATCAGGTGGTCGTCCACTCGAGACTGAGCATCGCCCACAATCAGGAAGGCCCCACACACCTCGCACACCTCCATCTGCTTCTCCTGCGCAGCAAAGCTCTCGATGGTCTGTGGGAACAGTCACAAATGTTTCAGGCAGGTTCTTATATTTTGCATTTCAAAGTCACATCCTGTGTTGACCACAGACTTCGCTACAACCAAAACTCACCGAGGGAGTAGAGTTGAGCAGCTCTCGCTCCTCTTTAAGCTGTTCCACAAGCTTCATCATTCCCTGGGCCTCCTCCACTTTTCCCTCAGACCCCAGCTCCTCAATCTACACACACACACAGACACACACACACACACGCACACAGACACACACACACGAGAAGGAAATTACCATAACAGAATACTTTGCATTTATATGACATCAAAACATTCAGAGCCTCCACTTTTAAATTGTGATGGAGGGAAGTGGAACTATCTTTCCTGGTAACTGTCAAAGAGAAAACTTCTAGTCTTAGTTTAAAGATAATTTCTACAATCCCAGGGCCAATATAAACAGTCAAAGTTCCACATCTTTGTCAGCACATAAACTATGGTCTACCTACGTTTCCATAACAATATTGAAAAACACATACTAAAGATACTGAAGATGAAGCGGCATGTTGACCATAAAGGGATTTCAGTCATAAGAACATTTGTATTTAGTCACTTTAATAATCATCTGGGTCAAGATAGAAGTCTTTTACAAATAAAAAAATTAAGTTTTCTTTGGACCTGCTTCCAATTGAAATGGAAAAACGCCTATTGCAAGAATGTGAGACAATTGCAAGCTCTTGAGAGTAGCTTTATAGAGAGATTGATGCAGATTAATGATGCATTCACACTATTTTTCCACCACAGGAACACTTCAAACGTTGACTTTTTGAAGCGTTCAAAATATGTAGTTAACGCACAGTGCTCTTTAATAACAACATGACACGGACAAATGCACGGTCCCGCACAGCTTCAAACAGTAAAAAGTCAAGACAAACCTGCAACACCAAGTCCTCAATCTTCTCTGTTAGGACAGAGATCTTCTCCTCGTTCTTCCCAGCGGGAGGAGGAGCCTGCCCGAGTAGAACAAGAATAACTTAAAAGTGTAATAAATGAAATGTGCAGTTATTGTTCTGTCACACACCCCAGCGCTCTGCTGAGCTTGAGAGAGTGCGAGACGTGCGTGACCTCTGCGAATCCGCCGCTCAACCTCAGCCAGGAGAGACTGCAGATAACGGAGGAAGTCTCTCTCAAAGCCTTCCTTCAGATACCGGGAGCTTTTCTCATAACTACACAAAGCACAAAACAGTTTAAAACATGGAAGATGAAAAACAAACGGGGTTTAGAATGTAATACTTACGTTTTCCTAAGATTTTCATCATGGATTTTTTCACAAGGCCCTATAAATTACATTTGGTGATCAGTATGAATGGTTCTATAAAACTGAGGTCGTTTGAGCAACTTACCCAAATCCGAGCGGGTGTTTGTGAACAGTTCTGCTGGACAGAATCCACACAAATAATATCGACAAACCTACAGAAGAAAAAACACAACTGTGATATTGTCCAAGAATCTTTATAATAAAATGCTTGTTTTAAAAAGGTTTGCAGATAAATTCAGTAATATAGCAGCATACACTAGTTGTTTATTACGACAACATCAATGACTAAAGTGTCTCAAAAAGCAATAATCTTATAGGTCTCAAATCTGTGGCCCAGTGTGGCAGGAGCTCTGGTCTGTGCACACTGGGGTCGTCTTGCACAGTTTTTCCAATGTGATTTTACTGCAAATGGCAAATAAATTAATCTGAATCAGTAGCTCACCACCCCCTTTTCAGGTAGCTCCCCAAAGGATTCCATAATTTAACAAATGATCCTGAATCATTCACATTTAAGTCACGGCATATCTAGTATATCTACATCTTCATCATTACAGGCCTACAGTAAAGTATCATGTGTGAGATCAATGATTTTCTGTAGTTATTATATAGATTACAATTGCATTACCACTGCTAAATGAGTAGCTAGCTCAGTGCCATTTCTGTTTTAATAATAAAAAGCTGGAGACCTTTGATATAAATGGTAACAACTGAACAATATGTACTTAACTCTACACATTCCATACCTAGGAATACAAACCATTTATTATCTTTAATAAATGGCTAGCTACCAATTTACCGTTAACGCGCTGAAATGAATGGAACACGGCTAACGAGCCTGTGTTGGGGAGTTGCTAACGGCTAACTAGCATGAACCACCTAGCATAACTAGTATATTATGAATTAAAGTGTTTCATTATGACTTTATGATCCACTTTCCTCACTCCACTCATTTAACAAGAGCAACAGAGTCAACATTGAGAATTGTTGTGTTTTAACAGCATGAGAAGTGCAGTTAGCCGGTGCATGCTAAAGGCTAACACATGCTAAAGGCTAACACATGCTAAAGGCTAACACATGCTAAAGGCTAACACATGCTAAAGGCTAACACATGCTAAAGGCTAACACATGCTAAAGGCTAACACATGCTAAAGGCTAACACATGCTAAAGGCTAACACATGCTAAAGGCTAACACATGCTAAAGGCTAACACATGCTAAAGGCTAACTCACGCTCTCGTCGTCCCAGCGCACATTGGACCTCTTCTCATCGGGAGCCAGGTTCCGGTCTCGGCCCATCAACTCATCGAGTAACTGGGCTGCGGACAGCATTGTGGCCGATGCTCAGTCACGGATCCACTTTATTTAATGTGGTTTTGATCTCGATCGGTGCAGCAGAACATTTAATGCACCCAGAATATCCTCATCAAAATGGCAGACGCGAACGCTTTCCAACAACGCCCGACCGCTGCAGCAGTCCTGTCCGGGCGAAGCGGAAGTACATAATATTATAGAATCAGATTCAGAATTATTATTATATTTGTATTGTAACATAAATTCACACAATAGTTATTTGCTTTGGAATATGGTGCAGACAAGTAATAAAAAGTAAAAAAGACAAAGGCATTAATACAAATATAAATATAAACAGTCACTCAATATCAATCAATAATACAAATATAATGCATGAGTCACATAATAGATATTTAACAGTGCAGCTTATCAATACGTGTCAAGAGGTGTCATATGTGAACGTGACAGAAGTAGAAGAGTGAGGAGTTATGAAGGTTAATATATCATCATAATGTAACTTCCTACTATCCACTGTTGTCAGCAACATATGATAATACTAGTCAGATTATCAAGCGTTTATTATTATTATTATAATTATTGTTGTTATTATTATTATTATTATTATTATCATTATCATTATCATTATCATTATCATTATTATTATTATTATTATTATTATTATTATTATTATTATCATTATTATTATTATTATTATCATTATTATTATTATTATTATTATTATTATTATTATTATTATTATTATTATTATTATTATTATTATTATTGTCATTATCATTATCATTATTATTATTATTATTATTATTGTTATTATTATTGTCATTATCATTATTATTATTATTATTATTATTATCATTATTGTTATTATTATTGTCATTATTATCCATCCATCCATTTTCTACCCTTTACGTCATTATTATTATTATTATCATTATTATTATTATTATTATTATTATTATTATTATTATTGTTATTATTATTGTCATTATTGTTATTATTATTGTCATTATCATTATTATTATTATGGAAAAAAAATCCAGGATGGAACTATAGTGCTCCAAGTCTGGTGCGGTGTCACATCGAAACCTGTCCCCCCAGCGCACTGTCGGCCCGGTGGTGCAGCAGCTGATGGCAGCCAAGTGGCGGAGCGCTAATCCCGCTGGAAGCCTGCCTCCGCCCGCCAACAAGTGCTCAAACTACCCCTGAAACCCCCCGCGGACCGGTGACACCCTGGTTTTGTTTGCGTGTGCACACTTTCTGCACATCCGCACTCAGAGTCGATGTTTTGATCCGTCTCCTCGCCACGCTAACTCGCTGCACAAGATTAGCCATTTAGCCCAATCTGTTTTCTCAGTTCAGCAATGAAGGAACATTAGCAAAGGCGATTAACCGCTCCATGCATCTGCAGCAGCGAGCTCCTCCGAGGCTCCCGAGCGTTTAGATGTTATTCTAGTAAGAACAGAAGGGAAACATGTCCACTACTTCTCTGGATAAGGAGCTGCAGGAGCGGCTGAGAGAGGCGTCAGCTCTGGGGGACATTGATGAAGTGCGGGCATTGGTGGAGAGTGGGGTAAATGTCAACTCCCAGAACGAGATCAATGGCTGGTGAGTGAAACTTAACACTAATGTATATAGTTCTACCACTGATCTCCATCTGTGAAGGCCTTGGGAAGTGGGCAGTGGGAAGTGGGCAGTGGGAAGTGGGAAGTGGGCAGTGGGAAGTGGGCAGTGGGAAGTGGGAAGTGGGCAGTGGGCAGTGGGAAGTGGGAAGTGGGCAGTGGGCAGTGGGCAGTGGACAGTGGGCAGTGGGCAGTGGGCAGTGGGGAGTGGGCAGTGGGAGTGAAGTGGGAAGTGGGAAGTGGGGAGTGGGCAGTGGGCAGTGGGCAGTGGGAAGTGGGCAGTGGGGAAGTGGGCAGTGGGCAGTGGGCAGTGGGAAGTGGGAAGTGGGAAGTGGGCAGTGGGCAGTGGGAAGTGGGAAGTGGGAAGTGGGAAGTGGGAAGTGGGAAGTGGGCAGTGGGCAGTGGGCAGTGGCAAAGACAGTCTCTCAGGGATCTACACCCACAAGACATTGGTGCAGTTTGTGGATAGACACTCTCGCCTCTCAGCAAGAAGGTCCTGGGTTCGAATCCCGGTCGGACCAGGGCCTTTCTGAGTGGAGTTTGCATGTTCTCCCCGTGTCTGCGTAGGTTTCCTCCGGGTGCTCCGGTTTCCCCTACCACTAAAAATGTGTACAATAGTTCTGGCATGCGCCTCCTGTACTGCCCCGCTCCCATCTCTGTGTGGAGTGAGAGACAAATGCCCAAAAAAAAAAAATTTACAATTGTAAACCGCTTTGAGACTCTGATCTGCAGTGAAAAGGCGGTATATAAATAAAGATTACTTACTACTACTTACTACTATTCTCCGCTGCTAATGTATAATATAGACATCTGTAAATACTCCGAACCAAGTGCAATTGTAGCCCAGATTTTCTTATTTTATTTTATTTTATCTTAAATGTATTGTCTATTATCTTAAATAATAGACTTTGATGTGTGCGTCTGAGTCTTATTTCCTTTCTCTGCTGTAATGTGCAACGATGACACTGACATTTCTCCACTGTGAGACTAATAAAGGTTTATCTTATCTTATCTCTAAAGTTGGAGATTTTTGGGTATACAATGTACGAGAATCTCTCCACCTCCCATCTCTCTTTTATAAACTAAAACAATATGTATTTATAAAACAGAAGATGAGAGAACCTTAAATGTAGAAAATTCATTCTGTCTTCTTATGTTTATGGCTTTTAGTTTCTTCTAATAAGACAATTAAAGCAAAACAAAGCTAGTACTGCTTAAATACCTGACATGTTTCGGCGGAACCTTCTTTCATCCCACAGTGGCGAAATGTTGATGTTGCAGCACACAAGGAGCACACAACATACAATACAAGTAGCTAGAATACGTCTTAACTAGCTGTAAATGCTTAAGTAGCTAAAGTGACATGCAGTGGATGTATTGGGCTCAAAATACTATTTTCAACCTAAAATTAAAAACATTAAAACTTGCTGCTAAATGCATGGAATGTCCTGAAGAGGCTGCTCTGTCCGTTTGTCGTTTGAACAGGAGGCCAATGAACCAAATTCTGTTATAGACTACTTTTAGATCAATGTTTTGTCATCTGGTTCACACTGGGGTAGTCTTGCACAGTTAAGTTCTACATTTAAGGTTCTCTCATCTTCTGTTTTATAAATACATATTGTTTTAGTTTATAAAAGAGAGATGGGAGGTGGAGAGATTCTCGTACATTGTATACCCAAAAATCTCCAACTTTAGAGATAAGATAAACCTTTATTAGTCTCACAGTGGAGAAATGTCAGTGTCATCGTTGCACATTACAGCAGAGAAAGGAAATAAGACTCAGACGCACACATCAAAGTCTATTATTTAAGATAATAGACAATACATTTAAGATAAAATAAAATAAAATAAGAAAATCTGGGCTACAATTGCACTTGGTTCGGAGTATTTACAGATGTCTATATTATACATTAGCAGCGGAGAATAGTAGTAAGTAGTAGTAAGTAATCTTTATTTATATACCGCCTTTTCACTGCAGATCTGAGTCTCAAAGCGGTTTACAATTGTAAATTTTTTTTTTTTGGGCATTTGTCTCTCACTCCACACAGAGATGGGAGCGGGGCAGTACAGGAGGCGCATGCCAGAACTATTGGACATATTTTTAGTGGTAGGGGAAACCGGAGTACCCGGAGGAAACCTACGCAGACACGGGGAGAACATGCAAACTCCACTCAGAAAGGCCCTGGTCCGACCGGGATTCGAACCCAGGACCTTCTTGCTGAGAGGCGAGAGTGCTATCCACTCAGCCACCGTGCGAGAATATGAGCAGAATAAACATCAGAACCTCCTTTTTAATATGTTTTTCTTGTGTTCTAATGTCTGTCCAGGACCTGTCTGCACTGGGCGTGTAAGAGGAACCATAAGCACATAGTGACGTACTTACTGAGCTGTGGAGCAGACATGGACATCCTCACAGCCAAGGACGAGATGGCCTCACAGCTCACATCCAAGCCTGACATCAAGAGACTGCTCGGAGGTAGGGACGCCTCGGTGTGTCCTGGGGAAGCCGTGGGTGCACATTCTTTAGGAGATGCTAACACGGAAAATAGCCCTGACTAAAGAACATTCAAGAGCATTTTCTTGTTTGGCGATTTCACTGCGAAGTAGAAGTGTTTTAGTGAAAATGGTGAACTGCAGCCGGATGATTTATCAGCGATCTTTCAGTTTTTTTCTCTCCTTGGACAGGGTTATTCTGAGCCGAGTCTTGGTGAGGTCTGCACTGCAAAAAATGATCAAATATGAGATCATAATTGCTAGAATCGAGTTTTTTTTTACTTGACTTAAGTTCATTCTGACTGTCTTAAAATGAGATTTGCCAATGAGACAAGCAATTTTGACTTGATTCAAGAACTATTGCTTTAATTTCTCATTCCAAGAGAGAAATATCTTGTATCTTTTTAAAACAAGACAATTTTTCTTGTTCCACTGGCAAATCTTGATTTAAGGCAGTCAAAATGTGCTCATATTTAGATACATTTAGCCAAATTTGAGCATTTTTTTGTCTTTAATTCTGTCATCTTTTGCAGTGCGGTCTATTTCTTTTGTTTACATTCTACTGTATAGAGACAGTCACAGCATGGGGTCCATACTTTTGCTCTGTCATTATGGTGCAACACAATATTTTCCTATCCCGGTATATGTTTAGCATCATGATAGAAATTCAAAGCCTTGTCAAGTTTCCAAATACAGAGAAAACAATAGTCAAATAGTGACTCATTAGGCAATAAACTGTAATTACGTCAGAAGAGATTTTATACTTGTTTCTTTATTATAAGTTAGAATTTTTTATAATTGCTTTTATTAGACTAAAGCTAGCGATATTATACTTGTTTCTTCATCACTTGGACTTTGCCAGACCAAGTTTCCACAAGGGAAAGGCTAAATGTGCATAAGGTTTTATCCAACAAAATGGCCTAATATGAAGCCTATTGTATGGTATATCCTGACATAGCCTAATGTCTGTGTGTTCAGACTGGTTTGCTCTCCACAAGCTTGGCTCCTAATGGTCCTGTCAGAAGAAATGCTGTTACTATCATGTTCCACAGTACGGCCTTTAACGGACCTATTTCCACAGGGAATTACATTGGGCTGAAAGATCATCAAGATCTTTATCAAAAAAAGCAGCAAAATAAAATGTATAGATTTCCTCTGTCTTCTGCATGTACAAACATTTGACGATTGTCTTTGAATGCACCTCTACGGCCGGTCAACCACAGTCCTTATCCCTGCTGTGGATTGACGACTGAAGGAACCAATGACACGCTAAAAAGATGGCTTTATAACAGACTCATGGTCCAGAACGACACTCTAGAAACATAAAACATAACTACTTCTGCATTAACATGAAGACAATCAATATTTACAATGTTTATTTATTGCATTGGAAAACAAATCCTTGAAACTATATGAAAATAAATAAAATACAACTTAAATAATATAAAAGAAAGATAAAAACAAAACAAAAAGATCTGCCAATAGAACAAGAAAATGTTTTCTGAAAATAAGAAAATAATTCTTGCCCCGAATGACTTGATCCTTGTAAACAAACAAACATTTAAAAAGGATTATTTATTTATTTTTGAAACATTTTTGAGAAATGTTTTCTTAAAGCATATACTGTTTAGCGTCATATACTTATTTTATCTAAACAAGAAAATGTGTCTTTAAATAAGAAAAAATAATTAGCGGAAGTATTAAAACTCACTGCTCTGACTTTCTCTAAAAAGATTATGAAGTATTATTATCTTAAAACTAGTAAAATAATCTTACATGACAAACTACATTGTAGTAGTAGTAGTAGTAGTAGTAGTAGTAGTAGTAGTAGTAGTAGTAGTAGTAGTCGTCTCAAAGCGGTTTATAATTGTTATTTTTGGGAGTGGGGCCAGTACAGGAGGCACATGCCAGACCTATTGTACATATTATTAGTGGTAGGGGAAACCGGAGCACCCGGAGGAAACCTACGCAGACACAGGGAGAACATGCAAACTCCACTCAGAAAGGCCCTGGTCCGACCGGGATTTGAACCCAGGACCTTCTTGCTGAGAGGCGAGAGTGCTATCCACTCAGCCACAGTGAAAGCAGTGGGTGGAGTAACACACATTTCTTCATGTTTTCTCTCTGAACAGTTGAAGTGGAGGAGGAGGATGAAGTGAAGGAGCCAGAGCTGCCCATTGTCCCAAACTACCTGTCCAACCCTCCTTTCATGTTCTCCACCCTGGAGCCAGAGGCCGAAGCGGTCCTGAAGCAGCGCCTGGCACAGAACGGCTCAGCAGAGCACAGCGAGGACAGCCAGAGCCAGGCCTCAGAGCTCACCTCTGCCCCCAGCCCCAGGGCCTTCATCCCCATGTGTGAGCAGAATGGGGACTCTCCGCCGAAAGCCTTCAAGTCAGGTTAGACATGTCCTGGAATCTTAAAGCTGCGGCACCTAACTTTCAAACCACATAAAAATGAAGCTATGTTACAAAAACAAAACTGATTCGTTCTGTCATTAGTTTTCACATGTCTTTCACACAAACCTTTTCAGACAGAAAAGAGAAAAGGAGAAGACCACCCTCAGCCCACAGCAGAAGCAAACATGTTTTCTAAAGAGACAGGCCGAATGCGGTCCAAATACTTTGACAAGACTTTGAAAATGATTAAATATTTAAGAATGAAGAAAATGTAGGTACCTCGGCTTTAAATGCAACAGTATGATGTTGCGTTGCTCGTTGGGGTGGGAACCTCGAGGTACCTCACGATACGATACAAAGCTCACGATAACGATTAAATCACGATATGACGATTATCGATCTATTGGTCAGCAATATACCAAATGCCAATTTATGGCATAAATAAAAGAAAAATGTTAAGTGAAAAAATACACTTTATTTCATGATAAATGGAATGGAGATGCGTAATGTAGCCATATATTAAGTATTGATACTAATAAAAATAAAAAAATGGATACTTGGCAAATGCATGATAATCGATCGCGGGAGAAAGTATCACGATATATCGTCACACTCCTAGACGCTCGCCGCATCATAGACAGGGTTCTCACATGGATTTCTAGCAGCGTCAGGGCCTCCCCCAATTTGACACCTCCCTTTAACAATTTAATTTGCTCGTTTACTGAGACAGTTGTGTGTCCACTGTCTTCAACATGTTCCGTAAAGTAGCAGTTTGTTGCTTTATTTCTACTTCTTGCATTTGTAAAACTTGGTGACCCACATTTCCACGCGGCTGACCTGTGGTGTGTGTTGCAGTGAACTGCACGGTGCCCATGGACCTGTCTGTGGAGCCTCACCTCAACCACATCGACCTGCAGCACTCGGCACACAACGGCACGGCCCACTCGCCCCCCCTGGCCGGCCCCGCCCCCGCTCTGCCCAGTAACGGAGGAGGAGTCCAGGTGCCCAGTGGAACCCCAGGGGTCAGCAGGCAGCAGTCCCTCCCCCAGCAGCTCACCTGCAGCCCCGCGGGGGGGCCCATGGCCGCCTTCCAACCCTTCTTCTTCACCAGTACTTTTCCAGTCAACGTGCAAGGTGAGCCCCAAGGACCTATCAGAGATGAGTTTCAAAGTTATACAGAGTTCAAAATCAGATTTTATGATCCCACAGTGGGGAAAGTTCAATGTTGTATCACCAGTTACTGAACAGAAGGAACGAGGAGCACACGGCACAAGAAACATCAATCACTCTAAACTAAAATACATTAAAATCTCTAACTTTAGCATACAGCATTTTGTTTTAAAGACTGCAAAAGAGTAAAGGTTAATGCTGTAGTTAGCCATTTGGGCATTTTTCAAGGTTATTTAATGCCTTTATGTATATTATACTGAATAATGAATGCAAATTGTAGCCTCAGTTTCCTGTTTTCAGCTGACAGGAGTGGCACCCGGTGTGGTCTGCTGCTGGCTAGGGTTAGGCTCTTTTGCAGACCTTGGTTGTAAAAAGTGGTTATTTGAGTTACTGTTGCCTTTCTATCAGCTCGAACCAGTCTGACCTTTCACCTCTGACCTCTGGCATCAACAAGGCATTTTCTCCACCAAACTGCCGCTCACAGGATATTTTCTTTTTCTGACCATTCTCTGTAAACTCTAGAGATGGTTGTGTGTGAAAATCTCAGTAGATCAGAAGTTACTGAAATACTCAGACCAGCGCTGCCATGTGATTGGCTGATTAGAAATTTGCATGAAAGTGGAGTTGTATAGGTGTGCCTAATAAAGTGGCCGGTGAGTGTATGTCGTTAAATAATAAAATACTATATATGCACAAAGGCATTAAGATCAGTAAGATAAATCTCCTCAGTTTCATTCCCAGCGACACAGAACCTGGGTCCAAACACTGCCAGAGAAGAAGCCTGTCTCACATTTTCAGGAAGACTTTTTAGCTGCATAAATGTGAAACACGATCCAACTGTTTCCAGAACTGGTGTTGAAAGTGCGTATCCAGAACCCGACCACTCGAGAGAATGACTTCATCGAGATCGAGTTGGACCGACAGGAGCTGACGTACCGCTCTCTGCTGCGGGTCTGCTGCCGCGAGCTGGACATCAGCACGGAGCACGTGGAGAAGATCCGCAAACTGCCCAACACCATGCTCAGAAAGGTACCACACAATAACACACACACGCACACACACTAACACAGGCCCAACACCATGCTCAGAAAGGTACCGCACAATAACACACACACACACAGGCCCAACACCATGCTCAGAAAGGTACCACACAATAACACACACACGCACACACACTAACACAGGCCCAACACCATGCTCAGAAAGGTACCACACAATAACACACACACGCACACACACACACTAACACAGGCCCAACACCATGCTCAGAAAGGTACCGCACAATAACACACACACTAACACAGGCCCAACACCATGCTCAGAAAGGTACCGCACAATAACACACACACTAACACAGGCCCAACACCATGCTCAGAAAGGTACCGCACAATAACACACACACTAACACAGGCCCAACACCATGCTCAGAAAGGTACCGCACAATAACACACACACTAACACAGGCCCAACACCATGCTCAGAAAGGTACCGCACAATAACACACACACACACACACACACACACAGGCTCAACACCATGCTCAGAAAGGTACCGCACAATAACGCACACACTAACACAGGCCCAACACCATGCTCAGAAAGGTACCGCACAATAACACACACACACACACTAACACAGGCCCAACACCATGCTCAGAAAGGTACCGCACAATAACACACACACACACACTAACACAGGCCCAACACCATGCTCAGAAAGGTACCGCACAATAACACACACACACACACACTAACACAGGCCCAACACCATGCTCAGAAAGGTACCGCACAATAACACACACACACACACACACTAACACAGGCTCAACACCATGCTCAGAAAGGTACCGCACAATAACACACACACACACACACACACACACACTAACACAGGCCCAACACCATGCTCAGAAAGGTACCGCACAATAACACACACACACACACACACTAACACAGGCCCAACACCATGCTCAGAAAGGTACCGCACAATAACACACACACACACACACACTAACACAGGCTCAACACCATGCTCAGAAAGGTACCGCACAATAACACACACACACACACACACACACACTAACACAGGCCCAACACCATGCTCAGAAAGGTACCGCACAATAACACACACACACACACACACTAACACAGGCCCAACACCATGCTCAGAAAGGTACCGCACAATAACACACACACACACACACACTAACACAGGCCCAACACCATGCTCAGAAAGGTACCGCACAATAACACACACACACACACACACTAACACAGGCCCAACACCATGCTCAGAAAGGTACCGCACAATAACACACACACACACAGGCTCAACACCATGCTCAGAAAGGTACCGCACAATAACGCACACACTAACACAGGCCCAACACCATGCTCAGAAAGGTACCGCACAATAACACACACACACACACACACACACACACACAGGCTCAACACCATGCTCAGAAAGGTACCGCACAATAACGCACACACTAACACAGGCCCAACACCATGCTCAGAAAGGTACCGCACAATAACACACACACACACACACACACAGGCTCAACACCATGCTCAGAAAGGTACCGCACAATAACACACACACTAACACAGGCCCAACACCATGCTCAGAAAGGTACCGCACAATAACACACACACACACACACTAACACAGGCCCAACACCATGCTCAGAAAGGTACCGCACAATAACGCACACACACACACACACTAACACAGGCCCAACACCATGCTCAGAAAGGTACCGCACAATAACGCACACACTAACACAGGCCCAACACCATGCTCAGAAAGGTACCGCACAATAACACACACACACACACAGGCTCAACACCATGCTTAGAAAGGTACCGCACAATAACACAAACACACACACACACACAGGCTCAATACCATGCTCAGAAAGGTACCGCACAATACACACACACACTAACACAGGCCCAACACCATGCTCAGAAAGGTACCGCACAATAACACACACACACACACACACTAACACAGGCCCAACACCATGCTCAGAAAGGTACCGCACAATAACGCACACACACACACACACTAACACAGGCCCAACACCATGCTCAGAAAGGTACCGCACAATAACACACACACTAACACAGGCCCAACACCATGCTCAGAAAGGTACCGCACAATAACACACACACTAACACAGGCCCAACACCATGCTCAGAAAGGTACCGCACAATACACACACACACACTAACACAGGCCCAACACCATGCTCAGAAAGGTACCGCACAATAACACACACACACACACTAACACAGGCCCAACACCATGCTCAGAAAGGTACCGCACAATAACACACACACACACACACACACACACAGGCCCAACACCATGCTCAGAAAGGTACCGCACAATAACACACACACACACACACTAACACAGGCCCAACACCATGCTCAGAAAGGTACCGCACAATAAACACACACACACACACACTAACACAGGCCCAACACCATGCTCAGAAAGGTACCGCACAATAACACACACACACACACACTAACACAGGCCCAACACCATGCTCAGAAAGGTACCGCACAATAACACACACACACACACACACTAACACAGGCTCAACACCATGCTCAGAAAGGTACCGCACAATAACACACACACACACACACACACACTAACACAGGCCCAACACCATGCTCAGAAAGGTACCGCACAATAACACACACACACACACACACTAACACAGGCCCAACACCATGCTCAGAAAGGTACCGCACAATAACACACACACACACACACACTAACACAGGCCCAACACCATGCTCAGAAAGGTACCGCACAATAACACACACACACACACACACACACTAACACAGGCCCAACACCATGCTCAGAAAGGTACCGCACAATAACACACACACACACACACACACACAGGCTCAACACCATGCTCAGAAAGGTACCGCACAATAACGCACACACTAACACAGGCCCAACACCATGCTCAGAAAGGTACCGCACAATAACACACACACACACACACACTAACACAGGCCCAACACCATGCTCAGAAAGGTACCGCACAATAACACACACACACACACACAGGCTCAACACCATGCTCAGAAAGGTACCGCACAATAACCACACACACTAACACAGGCCCAACACCATGCTCAGAAAGGTACCGCACAATAACACACACACACACACACACACACACAGGCTCAACACCATGCTCAGAAAGGTACCGCACAATAACGCACACACTAACACAGGCCCAACACCATGCTCAGAAAGGTACCGCACAATAACACACACACACACACACACACAGGCTCAACACCATGCTCAGAAAGGTACCGCACAATAACACACACACTAACACAGGCCCAACACCATGCTCAGAAAGGTACCGCACAATAACACACACACACACACTAACACAGGCCCAACACCATGCTCAGAAAGGTACCGCACAATAACGCACACACACACACACACTAACACAGGCCCAACACCATGCTCAGAAAGGTACCGCACAATAACGCACACACTAACACAGGCCCAACACCATGCTCAGAAAGGTACCGCACAATAACACACACACACACACAGGCTCAACACCATGCTTAGAAAGGTACCGCACAATAACACACACACACACACACACAGGCTCAAAACCATGCTCAGAAAGGTACCGCACAATAACACACACACTAACACAGGCCCAACACCATGCTCAGAAATGTACCGCACAATAACACACACACACACACACACTAACACAGGCCCAACACCATGCTCAGAAAGGTACCGCACAATAACGCACACACACACACACACTAACACAGGCCCAACACCATGCTCAGAAAGGTACCGCACAATAACACACACACACACAGGCCCAACACCATGCTCAGAAAGGTACCGCACAATAACACACACACACACACTAACACAGGCCCAACACCATGCTCAGAAAGGTACCACACAATAACACACACACACACACTAACACAGGCTTAACACCATGCTCAGAAAGGTACCGCACAATAACACACACACACACACTAACACAGGCCCAACACCATGCTCAGAAAGGTACCGCACAATAACACACACACACACACTAACACAGGCCCAACACCATGCTCAGAAAGGTACCACACAATAACACACACACACACACTAACACAGGCTCAACACCATGCTCAGAAAGGTACCACACAATAACACACACACACACACTAACACAGGCTTAACACCATGCTCAGAAAGGTACCGCACAATAACACACACACTAACACAGGCCCAACACCATGCTCAGAAAGGTACCGCACAATAACACACACACACACACACACACACACACAGGCTCAACACCATGCTCAGAAAGGTACCGCACAATAACGCACACACTAACACAGGCCCAACACCATGCTCAGAAAGGTACCGCACAATAACACACACACACACACACACACACACAGGCTCAACACCATGCTCAGAAAGGTACCGCACAATAACGCACACACTAACACAGGCCCAACACCATGCTCAGAAAGGTACCGCACAATAACACACACACACACACACACACAGGCTCAACACCATGCTCAGAAAGGTACCGCACAATAACACACACACTAACACAGGCCCAACACCATGCTCAGAAAGGTACCGCACAATAACACACACACACACACTAACACAGGCCCAACACCATGCTCAGAAAGGTACCGCACAATAACGCACACACACACACACACTAACACAGGCCCAACACCATGCTCAGAAAGGTACCGCACAATAACGCACACACTAACACAGGCCCAACACCATGCTCAGAAAGGTACCGCACAATAACACACACACACACACAGGCTCAACACCATGCTCAGAAAGGTACCGCACAATAACACACACACACACACACACACAGGCTCAATACCATGCTCAGAAAGGTACCGCACAATAACACACACACTAACACAGGCCCAACACCATGCTCAGAAAGGTACCGCACAATAACACACACACACACACTAACACAGGCCCAACACCATGCTCAGAAAGGTACCGCACAATAACGCACACACACTAACACAGGCCCAACACCATGCTCAGAAAGGTACCGCACAATAACACACACACTAACACAGGCCCAACACCATGCTCAGAAAGGTACCGCACAATAACACACACACACACACTAACACAGGCCCAACACCATGCTCAGAAAGGTACCGCACAATAACACACACACACACACACACACTAACACAGGCTCACCATGCTCAGAAAGGTACCGCACAATAACACACACACACACACACACTAACACAGGCCCAACACCATGCTCAGAAAGGTACCGCACAATAACACACACACTAACACAGGCCCAACACCATGCTCAGAAAGGTACCGCACAATAACACACACACACACACAGGCCCAACACCATGCTCAGAAAAGTACCGCACAATAACACACACACACACTAACACAGGCCCAACACCATGCTCAGAAAGGTAACACAACAGTAACACACACACACAACACTAACACTCACTCACACACATCCTCGCTCCACATCAGAGAACAGCAAAGTGATCACGCACGCTCCTAAACAACCAAAACAGGGACTAAACCAGGACTAAACCAGGACTAAACCAGGACTAAACCAGGACTAAACCAGGACTAAACCAGGACTAAACCAGGACTAAACCAGGAGCTAAACCAGGACTAAACCAGGACTAAACCAGGACTAAACCAGGAGCTAAACCAGGAGCTAAACCAGGAGCTAAACCAGGAGCTAAACCAGGAGCTAAACCAGGAGCTAAACCAGGAGCTAAACCAGGAGCTAAACCAGGAGCTAAACCAGGAGCTAAACCAGGAGCTAAACCAGGACTTAACCAGGACTTAACCAGGACTAAACCAGGACTAAACCAGGACTAAACCAGGACTAAACCAGGACTAAACCAGGACTAAACCAGGACTAAACCAGGACTAAACCAGGAGCTAAACCAGGAGCTAACCAGGAGCTAAACCAGGACTTAACCAGGAGCTAAACCAGGAGCTAAACCAGGAGCTAAACCAGGAGCTAAACCAGGAGCTAAACCAGGACTAAACCAGGACTAAACCAGGGCTGAGGACGTCAGTGCTTGTAAACATACGTCTTTACCGTGAGTTTCTTCAGTGACTGTAAAAGTGCCGCTACAGAAGCTCCGGCGTGTTCTGTGTTTTTCCCCAACGCAGGACGTTAGAGACGCACATGTTTGGAATGTTATGAATGTGACTGAAAACGCAGATGTTCGTTATGTGTGGATGCTAATTATTTCATAAAAGGAGGGGGGGAAATACTAGGTTTTAAAATACCCAACTACATGTGGACATGGCATGTGAACAACTCATTCTGTTGGTCTAAACATGGCACCACAGAAGAAAACAATAAAATTAAGCTGCAGCCTTAAATTGATAAAATTTTATCCATATAAAATTATTTATCCTTATAATCCGAAAAATACGGTAGTTTTATAAGGGTAAAGGAAAAGGTGAAGGTGCACTTTATTAATCCCTGTAGGGCAACTAATCCTCTGCATTCGACCCATCCTGATGCTGCTAAGGCTTACGTCAGGAGCAGTGGTCGCCGTAGTAACAGTGCCCGGGAACCCATCTCCAGGTGTTGCTCGGCTTGGTCTGGATCAGAGCTGGAGGATTTAACCTAGTGAGCATGTGTTTAGTTTTTAGCATGTTATAAGTGTTGCCCCATATCTCGATACCATCTGTTTTTAGGGCGTTGCTAATGAGTTGTATTTCTAGACAGTTTGTATTGACGTTCTGGCTTTTCGTTTGCAGGACAAGGACGTGGCGCGGCTGCAGGACTTCCAGGAGCTGGAGGTGGTGCTGGAGAAGGCAGAGGGTCTGTCTCTGTTCTCTGGGGGCCTGACGGACAGACCATGCTACAACATGAAGGCGTCCCGGCTCACATACTAACTCCAGCACCGTTACTACCAGTGCGACTACTACGACCCCCGAACTCCTCCAGTGCGACTACTACGACCCCCGAACTCCTCCAGTGCGACTACTACGACCCCCGAACTCCTCCAGTGCGACTACTACGACCCCCGAACTCCTCCAGTGCGACTACTACGACCCCCGAACTCCTCCAGTGCGACTACTACTACCCCCGAACTCCTCCAGTGCGACTACTACGACCCCCGAACTCCTCCAGTGCGACTACTACAACCCCCGAACTCCTCCAGTGCGACTACTACAACCCCCTAACTCCTCCAGTGCGACTACTACAACCCCCGAACTCCTCCAGTGCGACTACTACAACCCCTGAACTCCTCCAGTGCGACTACTACGACCCCCGAACTCCTCCAGTGCGACTACTACGACCCCCGAACTCCTCCAGTGCGACTACTACAACCCCCGAACTCCTCCAGTGCGACTACTACGACCCCCGAACTCCTCCAGTGCGACTACTACAACCCCCGAACTCCTCCAGTGCGACTACTACGACCCCCGAACTCCTCCAGTGCGACTACTACGACCCCCGAACTCCTCCAGTGCGACTACTACAACCCCCGAACTCCTCCAGTGCGACTACTACGACCCCCGAACTCCTCCAGTGCGACTACTACAACCCCTGAACTCCTCCAGTGCGACTACTACGACCCCCGAACTCCTCCAGTGCGACTACTACGACCCCCGGAACTCCTCCAGTGCGACTACTACGACCCCCGAACTCCTCCAGTGCGACTACTACAACCCCCGAACTCCTCCAGTGCGACTACTGCGACCCCCGGAACTCCTCCAGTGCGACTACTACGACCCCCGAACTCCTCCAGTGCAACTACTACAACCCCTGAACTCCTCCAGTGCGACTACTACGTCCCCCGAACTCCTCCAGTGCGACTACTACGACCCCCGAACTCCTCCAGTGCGACTACTACGACCCCCGAACTCCTCCAGTGCGACTACTACGACCCCCGAACTCCTCCAGTGCGACTACTACGACCCCGGAACTCCTCCAGTGCGACTACTACGACCCCGGAACTCCTCCAGTGCGACTACTACGACCCCCGAACTCCTCCAGTGCGACTACTACGACCCCCGAACTCCTCCAGTGCGACTACTACGACCCCCGAACTCCTCCAGTGCGACTACTACGACCCCCGAACTCCTCCAGTGCGACTACTACGACCCCCGAACTCCTCCAGTGCGACTACTACAACCCCCGAACTCCTCCAGTGCGACTACTACGACCCCCGAACTCCTCCAGTGCGACTACTACGACCCCCGGAACTCCTCCAGTGCGACTACTACGACCCCCGAACTCCTCCAGTGCAACTACTACAACCCCTGAACTCCTCCAGTGCGACTACTACGTCCCCCGAACTCCTCCAGTGCGACTACTACGACTCCCGAACTCCTCCAGTGCGACTACTGCGACCCCCGGAACTCCTCCAGTGCGACTACTACGACCCCCGGAACTCCTCCAGTGCGACTACTACAACCCCCGAACTCCTCCAGTGCGACTACTACGACCCCCGAACTCCTCCAGTGCGACTACTACGACCCCCGAACTCCTCCAGTGCGACTACTACAACCCCCGAACTCCTCCAGTGCGACTACTGCGACCCCCGGAACTCCTCCAGTGCGACTACTACGACCCCCGAACTCCTCCAGTGAGACTACTACGACCCCCGAACTCCTCCAGTGCGACTACTACAACCCCCGAACTCCTCCAGTGAGACTACTACAACCCCCGAACTCCTCCAGTGCGACTACTACGACCCCCGAACTCCTCCAGTGCGACTACTACGACCCCCGAACTCCTCCAGTGCGACTACTACGACCCCCGAACTCCTCCAGTGCGACTACTACGACCCCCGAACTCCTCCAGTGCGACTACTACGACCCCCGAACTCCTCCAGTGCGACTACTACGACCCCCGAACTCCTCCAGTGCGACTACTACAACCCCCGAACTCTCCTCCAGTGCGACTACTACAACCCCCGAACTCCTCCAGTGCGACTACTACGACCCCGAACTCCTCCAGTGCGACTACTACGACCCCGAACTCCTCCAGTGCGACTACTACGACCCCCGAACTCCTCCAGTGCGACTACTACGACCCCCGAACTCCTCCAGTGCGACTACTACGACCCCCGAACTCCTCCAGTGCGACTACTACAACCCCCGAACTCCTCCAGTGCGACTACTACAACCCCCGAACTCCTCCAGTGCGACTACTACAACCCCCGAACTCCTCCAGTGCGACTACTACAACCCCCGAACTCCTCCAGTGCGACTACTACTACCCCCGAACTCCTCCAGTGCGACTACTACGACCCCCGAACTCCTCCAGTGCGACTACTACGACCCCCGAACTCCTCCAGTGCGACTACTACGACCCCCGAACTCCTCCAGTGCGACTACTACGACCCCCGAACTCCTCCAGTGCGACTACTACGACCCCGAACTCCTCCAGTGCGACTACTACGACCCCCGAACTCCTCCAGTGCGACTACTACGACCCCCGAACTCCTCCAGTGCGACTACTACGACCCCCGAACTCCTCCAGTGCGACTACTACGACCCCCGAACTCCTCCAGTGCGACTACTACGACCCCCGAACTCCTCCAGTGCGACTACTACGACCCCCGAACTCCTCCAGTGCGACTACTACGACCCCCGAACTCCTCCAGTGCGACTACTACGACCCCCGAACTCCTCCAGTGCGACTACTACGACCCCCGAACTCCTCCAGTGCGACTACTACGACCCCCGAACTCCTCCAGTGCGACTACTACGACCCCCGAACTCCTCCAGTGCGACTACTACGACCCCGAACTCCTCCAGTGCGACTACTACGACCCCCGAACTCCTCCAGTGCGACTACTACGACCCCCGAACTCCTCCAGTGCGACTACTACGACCCCCGAACTCCTCCAGTGCGACTACTACGACGAACCCCCCGAACTCCTCCAGTGCGACTACTACAACCCCCGAACTCCTCCAGTGCGACTACTACGACCCCCGAACTCCTCCAGTGCGACTACTACGACCCCCGAACTCCTCCAGTGCGACTACTACGACCCCCGAACTCCTCCAGTGCGACTACTACGACCCCCGAACTCCTCCAGTGCGACTACTACGACCCCCGAACTCCTCCAGTGCGACTACTACGACCCCCGAACTCCTCCAGTGCGACTACTACGACCCCCGAACTCCTCCAGTGCGACTACTACGAACCCCCGAACTCCTCCAGTGCGACTACTACGACCCCCGAACTCCTCCAGTGCGACTACTACGACCCCCGAACTCCTCCAGTGCGACTACTACGACCCCCGAACTCCTCCAGTGCGACTACTACGACCCCCGAACTCCTCCAGTGCGACTACTACGACCCCCGAACTCCTCCAGTGCGACTACTACGACCCCCGAACTCCTCCAGTGCGACTACTACGACCCCCGAACTCCTCCAGTGCGACTACTACGACCCCGAACTCCTCCAGTGCGACTACTACGACTCCCGAACTCCTCCAGTGCGACTACTACGACCCCCGAACTCCTCCAGTGCGACTACTACGACCCCCGAACTCCTCCAGTGCGACTACTACGACCCCCGAACTCCTCCAGTGCGACTACTACGACCCCCGAACTCCTCCAGTGCGACTACTACAACCCCTGAACTCCTCCAGTGCGACTACTACGACCCCCTAACTCCTCCAGTGCGACTACTACGACCCCCGAACTCCTCCAGTGCGACTACTACGACCCCCGAACTCCTCCAGTGCGACTACTACGACCCCGGAACTCCTCCAGTGCGACTACTACGACCCCCGAACTCCTCCAGTGCGACTACTACGACCCCCGAACTCCTCCAGTGAGACTACTACGACCCCCGAACTCCTCCTGTACGACTCCTGCACCAACTCTGCCTCTCGAGTTGGCTTCTCACAGCTTTATCCACTGCTTTGTCGGTTTTCTAATCTCCGAAGCCTGGTAGCTACTTTTATCCCAGCTTTCCGACGCATGCTGTCCGGGAGGTCTCCGGTCCCGTCCCCTTCCAGTTCTGTCGCACTTTGATCGGGGAACACCGGTCTTCCGAACGGCTGAAGCGCCTTGGAACACGGGGTTACCTACTTAAACTTCTTGATAGCCTTATACGGGACTATGCCGTGTAGTCTGCGGCAGATCAGACTGAGCTGTTTTCTAACCAGCAAGAGGACGTGGACACTTTGGCTTTATAGTTTCTACAAAGAAATGGTCAGTTTTTAACATTAGTTTTCATCTAAGTTACAACGACGTGAATCTATGTTTTGTTTTTGTTGACTCCACTGTGGGATAAAAGTTCTAACCACTTCTGTTTTGCACATAACACTTGCTTATATTTGTTTGTTCTCTGTTTGGATTCAATATTTGCAATGGCCAAGAACAAGTAGAGGTGGGCAATACTGGAACTTTATCAGAATAATTAAAGATCTCATCAAGCTATTTTACAGATTTAAACAGGTGACGCAAAAAGCTAAAAATTAAATGTTTTTGCGTCGGTCTAAATTGTTTAACTTGATCCTACATTCCTGGCATTCTAATCCTACCATAACTTTCAGTGGTATGCTAACAAGAGCTAGCGCATCAGCAGCTCACTTCCTGGTTCTCTACATCTCTTTTAATCTACACGAGAGCAAAACAATCTTGTACGGTTAATTTAGCATATTTCACACATTTTAATAAATTGCCCACCTCTACCTAACCACAGACAAACATTAATATAGATTTAATTTGAGTTTTGTTGCTTCGTATCTGCTGCCTGTTCGACTTTTTGTTAGAATCCATTTTGAAGTGGACTTACTACGCACAGTCTGAGGTTGTGGGCACTTTGGAATCTGTGTTTTGCGTTTGAGAAATACAAATATTGTCTATATATGGAGAAAAACACAAGTAGTAATGTTGGCTAATGACACGCTAACAGCTAACTGCTAGCATAACGCAATATATGGCTGAATCACTTTTGGATTCAAACCGAGAGCGCGACTATTGAAATACTATGAACAACTCTTTTAGTTTTATTCCATTGTTGTCCACAGCCAACGCTGACGTCATGTGACCAGTGCCAGGGGTGGTTGTCATGGTTCCCGAGCGCTAACATTAGCTGCACACCGTTAGCTCTTACCGTCAAGCGTGCGGATCATAGTTTTTTTTTGTGTTTTTTGCGTTGGAAATGGTGTCAAATACTGAGTCAGTGAAGTTACGTAGCAGATGAAGAGAAAGACGCACGATGAGACTTTTCTGGCGGAAAATATCATTCAATAATTTTGTTTATTTGCGAGTGAGAAAGTAAAATGGAGCATATATGTTTTTAGGAGCTGCTGACAGAACTATTTTTGATTGGGATCAGTTTTTATATTTAAATAAACGTTATAATAACAATAGTAAGCTACGATAAATAAACAGCCATGTGATGTAGTGTCGTTAAAGCAGGGTAATGTAACTTCTGCTTCTATCACTAGTTTTCACATTGGAAAAATACCACATCCTGCTTTAAAAACTGTATATTTTCAATTTAATTTGAACACAATATATTTATAAAACTATAAACTTGTGCCTCTAATTCTCTGCCCGTTCAGAAAAACAAAAACACAATTTATGTCTGAACATTAAATTATTGGAACAAAAATCCATATTGTATATGATTTTAAAGTTTCCGTATTTAAATAAAATCTTTTCTTTCTATTTTCTTTTGCACACGCCTATCACAATACCCCCAGAGAAGCCACACCCTGCGCCTTTTTACAAACCGTGAAAAAGTGCAATGTGGGGAAAGAAGTTTTAACATAAACCGAGAGTGCTTTTTTACCCTTGTGTACGTTTTGCGAATAAACCGTTGTTTCGTAGGTTTGACAGAGCCTTTTCGTTCTGTGGGAGGACTTTGGTTTCGCCGGTGTTGAACATGTTGAACCTGACCTATGCATTCAGAGTCCGATATTTTTATAACGCAGAATGTTCCGTATGTTCCGTCTCAAACTATTCCGTTAGACTGTGTTCGCTGTGTATCATATGTTACTCCATAAAGCATGGTTCTACTTACGCCAGAGACTCTTTCTATTCAACTTGTCCTTAAAAGATCATATAAATAAAGTTTATTAGAGTTAGGATTAGAGTTTGTATGGATATGAGTGCAATTTTCACATTTATGGTATGAAATAATGGTCTATAAACACATTCTGGAGAGGATTGGCCCTGGTATGGGCTCCACACATACAAATGTGTTTTACTCATAGGAACATGGAACCATTTTGCTGAAATGTAAAGCCTTGATTAAAGCTCGGGTACCTAACTTGTTTTTTCCATAATTCATTAGGGATGGTTAGTGAGGGTTATTTGTACTTTTTCACTTTTCTACAAGCAAAAAGCTGATCTAAAGATGTGACCGAGGCCAATAATACATGTGTGTGAAAAGTAGTGTAGAGGAACGACTTATTTTATTGAACAAGTATGAAAAGCTGGGGACCCCATCTTTAATCTTTAAGTACCCAAGCTTTTAAATGTCACTGTGGAACTGTAAAGGAGCAGAGTGTAAACATGTGGCCAAAAGTGGTACTGCAGCCTCTCCCACTCTCCCTGACTCAGGTTGCCAGATATGCAGACGAATCCAGCTGGGACCATAACAGCTGAATAGACAAGAGTTTAGTCAACAACAAATCTATAACCAACACCTTTTTCACAAAGATAGAAATCCTGGTTTTATTCCTTGTTTTGTCGTTAATGATTTGAGAATCATAACAAGACCTTTTTTAGTTCTGCGCCACATGGTACTTTACCAGTGAGATTAGCTCCACATGGTACTTTACCAGTGAGATTAGCTCCACATGGTACTTTACCAGTGAGATTAGCTCCACATGGTACTTTACCAGTGAGATTAGCTCCACGCCGTGAGTTCTGGCGCCCGGATCACAGACTTTCTGATCAGGACAAATAGTCTTGATAGATACTTTATTGATCCATGTAGGAGAAATTCAGGTGTCCAGCAGTGGCAAAATAAATAATAATAAAATGGATCATTCTAAAAAGTAAAAAATAGTTATAATGAGCGCCAGCCCCTCACGTCACAGCAGCAGAGGTGGAGTAGCCTCTGGGTGGAGCAGGACGGGTCACAGCAGCAGAGGTGGAGTAGCCTCTGGGTGGAGCAGGACAGGTCACAGCAGCAGAGGTGGAGTAGCCTCTGGGTGGAGCAGGACGGGTCACAGCAGCAGAGGTGGAGTAGTCTCTGGGTGGAGCAGGACAGGTCACAGCAGCAGAGGTGGAGTAGTCTCTGGGTGGAGCAGGACAGGTCACAGCAGCAGAGGTGGAGTAGCCTCTGGGTGGAGCAGGACAGGTCACAGAGGCAGAGGTGGAGTAGCCTCTGGGTGGAGCAGGACGGGTCACAGCAGCAGAGGTGGAGTAGTCTCTGGGTGGAGCAGGACAGGTCACAGCAGCAGAGGTGGAGTAGCCTCTGGGTGGAGCAGGACAGGTCACAGCAGCAGAGGTGGAGTAGCCTCTGGGTGGAGCAGGACAGGTCACAGCAGCAGAGGTGGAGTAGTCTCTGGGTGGAGCAGGACGTGTCACAGCAGCAGAGGTGGAGTAGCCTCTGGGTGGAGCAGGACAGGTCACAGCAGCAGAGGTGGAGTAGCCTCTGGGTGGAGCAGGACGGGTCACAGCAGCAGAGGTGGAGTAGCCTCTGGGTGGAGCAGGACGGGTCACAGCAGCAGAGGTGGAGTAGCCTCTGGGTGGAGCAGGACAGGTCACAGCAGCAGAGGTGGAGTAGCCTCTGGGTGGAGCAGGACGGGTCACAGCAGCAGAGGTGGAGTAGTCTCTGGGTGGAGCAGGACAGGTCACAGCAGCAGAGGTGGAGTAGCCTCTGGGTGGAGCAGGACAGGTCACAGAGGCAGAGGTGGAGTAGCCTCTGGGTGGAGCAGGACGGGTCACAGCAGCAGAGGTGGAGTAGTCTCTGGGTGGAGCAGGACAGGTCACAGCAGCAGAGGTGGAGTAGCCTCTGGGTGGAGCAGGACAGGTCACAGCAGCAGAGGTGGAGTAGCCTCTGGGTGGAGCAGGACAGGTCACAGCAGCAGAGGTGGAGTAGTCTCTGGGTGGAGCAGGACGGGTCACAGCAGCAGAGGTGGAGTAGCCTCTGGGTGGAGCAGGACAGGTCACAGCAGCAGAGGTGGAGTAGCCTCTGGGTGGAGCAGGACGGGTCACAGCAGCAGAGGTGGAGTAGCCTCTGGGTGGAGCAGGACGGGTCACAGCAGCAGAGGTGGAGTAGCCTCTGGGTGGAGCAGGACGGGTCACAGCAGCAGAGGTGGAGTAGCCTCTGGGTGGAGTAGGACGGGTCACAGCAGCAGAGGTGGAGTAGCCTCTGGGTGGAGCAGGACGGGTCACAGCAGCAGAGGTGGAGTAGTCTCTGGGTGGAGCAGGACAGGTCACAGCAGCAGAGGTGGAGTAGTCTCTGGGTGGAGTAGGACGGGTCACAGCAGCAGAGGTGGAGTAGCCTCTGGGTGGAGCAGGACGGGTCACAGCAGCAGAGGTGGAGTAGTCTCTGGGTGGAGCAGGACAGGTCACAGCAGCAGAGGTGGAGTAGCCTCTGGGTGGAGCAGGACGGGTCACAGCAGCAGAGGTGGAGTAGTCTCTGGGTGGAGCAGGACAGGTCACAGCAGCAGAGGTGGAGTAGCCTCTGGGTGGAGCAGGACAGGTCACAGAGGCAGAGGTGGAGTAGCCTCTGGGTGGAGCAGGACGGGTCACAGCAGCAGAGGTGGAGTAGTCTCTGGGTGGAGCAGGACAGGTCACAGCAGCAGAGGTGGAGTAGCCTCTGGGTGGAGCAGGACAGGTCACAGCAGCAGAGGTGGAGTAGCCT